CATCTTCTGTGGACCAGGTAACGCTTTCTGGACATAGTTAACACGACAGAATGTGAGATACTGAACCTTGACTCTTTCTCTCGAGGCAGCTGCCTCTCTGTCACCTGGGGGCAGATTTTTACAGGTCGTGGAGCCATAAACGTGACATCACCCCAAAACAGTGCCGACGCCAGGCTGCTGTCACCAGAGTGGACGCTCTCCAGCCCTCCGCCACGTACTGACATCATTTGCATAAAGAAGGAAAGCGGTATGAGTTGCATCCTTTTATGAGTATAATGTACATTATTTTTGCCAGGAATCCGAATGTGCTGCTCTGTCCTCTTCCTGCTGGTGTGCAAGAGCCAAATGAGTCATGGCATGTGGAGTAATTGTGAGGAAATACCGCGTAGTCTGGTCACAGCGGGAGGAGCATTTCTCTCCTTTCAGTGTTAAACTGACCCAAGCAATACACACACACACACACACACACACATCCTGCAATTTTATTTATTGCAGACGCAGCTCTGCAGATTTGTCTGTGGTATTTGATCCATTCGCAGCAGTGTATCGACACACCTCAGATGTCCAGGGATGGTGTGATAACACACACACACACACACACACAGATATTGAGAGTTTGAATGAGGCAGGTTACGGAGTCTAGACACACACACACACACACACACACTAACGGCAGAGATGGTGTTGGATTCGTCCCAGGCTGCCTGCTGAGCCAACTGTCAGTCATATTACACCACGAAATAAGAATGCAACAAGTACCAGCTAATTGGATCAAACTGGGTGCACTCTCAGAAACTAATACCACCTCGCAGCTTGTATTTATGCCCAGCGTGGCACTGTGGGAATCGATCGATTTGAAACCTGCTGCTGAGCACTTCTCCCGCCGACTCCTCGGGTCAGTGACCCCGCAGGCCACATGGTGTACTGTAATGAGAGGACATTAACACATGCCCCACGGTCTCAGCTCGGCGCGAGGGGCCCGCAAAGCGTTTCCCCCTCATACAGTATTCTGTGTCATCATAACTCTCTCCCTTCGTTTGATGTGCCGATCCTCAATCACCCCGCAGTGGAGCAGCGGAGGAACATCAGAAAGCTCTGGATCGGGTTTCAGGATGCTGTGACTTTTTGAACTTTGAGCCGTTTCCCTGGGATTTTCTTTTTGGGGGGGGAAGGACTTTATGCCCAGTGACAGGTGACTGGAGGCCGTGGACGTGGAGGCCGTGGACGTGGTTAAACTAAAAGTCAACAAGTAGAGTTGCTGTTCAAGAAGTTGGGTGCAGTCACAACGCGTACGCTGCGGTGGAATAATGAATCGGAAAAAAAGACGTTGGTTCGAAAAAATGAAATAAAAGTGATAACTTGATCAAAACAATGTATCAACATATTATTAAATTATCCGTAACCCCATAGTAAGTATTCTAAACAGCTTAAAGCCTTTTGCAAGTTGCTGAAATAGACTAAAAACAGATGTCACAGGGCCCCAATGAAACTCCTCTACACATCAAGCCTAACTAGTCATTTGAAACACTAAAGTCATTTGAAAAATTGCTAAGGCCAAACTTATATGGAGTAAATGTTTCAGATAAACAACAATTATTAATGAGACGCACAACCGCCTGATATGAAATATACCTTCCTCCCCCCATAAAGGCCTCCCGGTATTTGCCTGTTTTGCTTGGTTCGTTATTCAGGCTTGAGAATGAATCATGGCATGAATTATTTGGCAAAAATGTAACATTTCTCAGCAACTTTGGTAATTCATTTTAGGATTATGTGGAAAATGTCCTGCAAGAAATCCTGCTTAAGTCATTTACATCTATTTGAGACTCCTGAAACAATCAGTCAATGTGGAGCGATCGTCTGTCTGAACATGTGATTAAATGACACAGACGGATGAAAGTTGCATTAAAGGGACCAAACATGGTGCAGGAATAGGACCAGGGCTCAGAGTGTGGGTCTGTTTACACAAGCGCGTAGGTGTGTGTGTGTGTGTGTGTGTGTGTGTGTGTGTGTGTGTGTGTGTTGAGGCTCTATCCATGACGTTGTCCAGCCCCTGGCAGTGGAACGGGGTCTGAGGTCTGGGCGCCATGGAAACTCAGTTGGGCAGATCATCACGCACACACACACACACACACACACACGCACACACACACACTGTTTCTGTTGGACCGCTCTGCAGGAATTCACTTATTTATACAAATGTTAAGAATTTAAGCAATGGAGATTCGAAAATTGAAAAGCCCTTCCTAAGCGGCATTAGGCTCACCGCGTAACAGCTAACTATACAACATTCCTTTAAATCAAATGTGTTTACATTTTTCTCACATAAAATGGCCCAAAGTGAGAAAGATTTCAACTGTTAAAATAACTCATTTCAAATGCAATAAGTCCCACTGGCAGTGAGCTCGACACAGAGGACAACGACGGTCTTTCCCTCACCTGGCGGCAGACAATGACACACACACATAAATACAGACACACACACACACACACACACTCACAGCTAAAGGAGGGAAAAAGGAGCAATATTGCTGATGTGATTCCATCCTGTGGCTGCCAGGCGGAGCCGGTGTGGCAAATTCCTCTGATGTGAATCCGGAGCATGTAACCAACGCAGATACCGAATTACACCCTGTCCTGCTTTGATGTCTCCAACCCCATGCCTGCTTCCACGAAAGTAACCCGATTGTGTGCGTGTGCGATTGGTGTGGGTAAGTGAGAGTGTTTGACTAGATGTGTGTGTGTGAGTACATCTTTGCATGCATGAGTGCAAATGATATGGGCAGGTCTTGTGTGTGCTGCACAGCGGCTCTTGCAGCTCGTGTGTTACCGCGTGGACCCGTGGGGAACTGGACCCTGGCAGGCGCTTGTAGGCACCTGGTAGAAACATGTTCCTGGAGACCTTCTGCCCGGCTTGTCTTGTCGCCACGTCGTCCGCGGTGGACTTCCCACCCGCAGCCGACGACGATCGGGTTGCGTCTTGGATTTCCGTCTGAGCCACCCTCTAATCTCATGACAGTCGAGCGTGAACGGAGCCACTTCTCGGGCCTGTGGGGTCAGCCCCTCGCAGGAGTTAGCACATCACATGTTTATCTGTCCCTCGTTACCTAAATGGGTCTGAGGTTCTCGAGTGATAGATGAGGATCAAATATTAAGGGGGATGTCATGCTGTGATTGTGAATGTTTACTATAAAGAGACCATTAACCTGACTGACCCTGGATGTTTGTAAATGACGTTGAATGTCCTCGCTGAGAATAGAAATTTATAGTTTGTTATCATTTCAGCACTGATGCAGATGGAATTTTTTTATTGAACTTAAGTGAAATTCTTTTCAAAATGTGCTCTATTTATTTTGCATTACATCTCATAAAAAATATGGTCCTTGGCAACAACAACTTGTCAAAAAACACATGCACAGGCATGAAAGTGTCACAAAGCTACATATGAAATCTTTAAAAGCCAAAAAGATCACATGAAATGTTAGAAAATGTTAAATCATCATGAAATTAAATTTCACATTTTGATATTACAAAATATTATTGGCACTGTAACGTACGAACAATTGAGCTCATTGCATGAGTAAAAAACAATGACCTGCTTTGCAGTAAATGTTCATTGAGTTGAGGACACAAAGGTAAAATAATTATGATTATTACAGGTAAAAGATGCTGAGATTACGAGTCTTGCCAGAGACCGTTGTCACATGTCCCTTTTTTCATCTCGGTGGTCATTATAATGTGAAGTAGAAATAGCTTTAAAACATTGAAATGACAAAATAATCTTCTCCACGTAATCATCATTGGATAAAATCAAACTAAACAATATATTTATTAACAACAATAAGACACAGAACTCCAGAACCAGAAGTTGTTGTCATGCTGTTGGACACGGGAACTAGTCTGTAAAAGCAAAATAGATGTTTGTTACTGCTCAGCGTTAAGTAGTACACATCTCTCTTAGGTTGTGTGGGGCTCGTGAACACATCTGGGGCTTGTTGTGTGACCACTAAACGTGTCCTTCATTCCATTGTAAGGGCTAAACTGGCCATCTGGTGCTTGTAAATACCTGAGCGGCACAGCCAAGACAGTGGGGATGATGTGTGCAGGGAGGGGGGGGGGGGGAGGAAGGGGGAGGGTTTCAACGCACTTTGTGGGAGTTTGGCGGCACTTAGTGGTGGACGTCTGCTTTAAGATTAGATTAGATTCAACTTTATTGTCATTGCACAAAGTACAAGTACTGAGGCAACGAAATGCAGTTTAACATCCAACCAGAAGTGCAAAATAGCAAAAAGTGCAGAGTGTGTGCATATGTAAAGTGTAATAAGTGAATAAATAGATATGTACAGTAAGAAATAGTTGTGCAATATGAACAGTAAGAAACGGATATACAATAACAGTGCAAATGTTCAGTGGGCTGGAGGAGGGTGTGTGGCAGTCAAGCCAGGGTGGAGGGGGGAAGTACAGTCACTGAGGGAGATGTGTGTGGGGGTGGGGGGCAGAGTTCAGAGTTCAGGGGGGGCAGAGTTCCAATAGAGTGACAGCCGCAGGGATGAAGCTGTTCCTGAACCTGCTGGTCCGGGAACGGAGCACCCTGTAGCGCTTCCTAGAGGGGAGGAGGGCAAACAGTCTGTGGCTGGGGTGAGAGCTGTCCTTTTCGATGCTGCGTGCCCTCCGCAGACATCTCTTGCTCTGGACAGCCTCAATGGTGGGGAGTGAGGAACCGGTGATGCGTTGGGCAGTTTTCACCACCCTCTGCAGTGATTTACGGTCCGCGACAGAGCAGCTGCCGTACCATACTGAGATGCAGTTTGTAAGGATGCTCTCTATGGTACAGCGGCAGAAATGCTCTAGAATCTGAGGAGACAGATGGGCCTTCTTCAGTCTCCTCAGGAAGAAGAGACGCTGGTGTGCTTTCTTTACCAGGGATGAAGTGTTGAGGGTCCAAGAGAGGTCCTCAGAGATGTGGACACCCAGGAACTTGAAGCTGGCGACATGCTCAACCTCCATCCCGTTGATATGGATGGGGATGTGTGTGCCAGTTTTCTTCCTGAAGTCCACAATTAGCTCTTTGGTCTTCTTGGTACTGAGCGACCTCGCCCCGGTCGCATTTCGCTGTCCACTCCCGCGGGTCAAAGGATTTATGTCCGTCCAACCAATGAGGCACATCTTTTAAAAACACTGGTAATAATCATGCTGCTGCTAATTGACACGCGGCCATTATGCAGCTTGTTCACCAACACATGTGAGCCCTTGCCTGCCAAATTTCCTGGGTGATGTAATGGAAACTACGCATGCTTCCTCACCAGAAATTGAGGGCAAACTATTTAGCAGCAGTTGCGATGTCAGTGTGTGTTTCCATCTGGGCACGACGCCGAGGCAGGAGAAAATGCATTAGGGTAAAAGGCAAGTGAATGCGTGAGCAAAAGTTCCTGAGCTGAGCCCCTTTTGTCATGACACCAGGCACTTTGGTAGCATTAAAAACAAAAAACAAATCTCGGATCATTTGTGTGCTTTCGTTTTAGCCCGGCTGTGCAGGTGGCACGCGTTGAGCGGGCAAAGTGCTACAACACAGCGCACGTCCTGGACTCCCACGCCGCCTCGCGGCTGTGGCCGTTCAGTCTGGGTTGGTCCAGCTCGTCGAACACCCCAGTGTCGATCATCTCCTTCTGCCAGCGGATGGGGACCGCCCCCGTGCTGAACTGCTTGTAGAATTTCTCATCTTTGGCCTCAAACTTAACATCCTCCACCTCGGAGACGTCCCCGAACGTGTCCGTGTCGTTGGCGTACACCACGTGAGGTTTTGGCGTCCAGGGGGGCTCCAGCAGGCCGGCCTCCAGGCGACGGAAATTGATGCTCTTGAAAAACGCGTGGTTTCGTGGGTCATCGCCGTTACTGTGGGGGAGAAACAGAAGACGTTCGATGACGAGACGACGATACAAGATTAGGTTACGAAAGCCTGAGTCAGCAGAATCGATTGAACCTTCCTGTGAAAGAGCTCATATGTATGGATCTGATATTGCCTTTCCTGATTGTACACATGGTTTCTTTAAGCAGTGTGATCACAGCGGGGTGAAGAATAAGTTGTCTGCATCACCCTCATCCCACCAATTTGTGCTCGGGAAGATCTGGCTTTCTACTCACCGGCACCCGAGGCGATGCGCCTGCTTCTTCTTGAGGAAGCGGCGGACGAGGTCCTGGGTGGGAGCGTCAAAGTGTTTGTGTTCAAACTTGCACTCGTCCTCCAGAGTGCGACGAGTCACCTCCTCGTTCTGCACCTTCTCTCTGAAGTCCTTGAAGGGCAGGCGGGCGGCCACCATCTCGTAGATGCTGCAGCCCACGGCCCACCAGTCCACGGACGTGCGGTAGTACTCCTGCCTCAGAATCTCAGGCGCCATGTAGCCAGTCGTACCAGCCTGACGACGCACAGGTGGGGAGGGTTTGGTACTCAGGGTTAGATTCTGTAGTTTAACTATAACATTCGTACCTACAGTTTAAAATGTTTGAGGTAAACCATCTTAAATATGTTTCTTTGACTGGCATCCATCAAAAGATTGAACACTGACTAAAATAATACAATTACAACTTAAATACAGTTACACTTTGACGGCAAATAGCGCCTCCATTGGCATTACCGCTGTCTCTGTCCGGTCTATAGTGAGCACAGGCCCGCTGTGAGTCTCCTGACTCACCTGCTTGGACACGTGGAGGCCATATCTGGCATCAGCAGAGCAAAGATCAACCAGCTAAAGCTCACAGGCTCTATTCCGTCTTTTGTACATTTATATATATATAATATGTAGCTACATATGATCAGGGATAAAGAGCACAAACCACGGGGTGACTTTGCAAAGGGCCTATCACTGCAAACGGCTGCACAGCGCGCGTCTGTCACTAACCTTCTGGCACACCTTTTTGCCTTTCGGCAGCTCCACGGCCAGTCCAAGGTCCGAGAGCCGACACTGTCCCCTGGCATCCAGCAGCACGTTGTCGGGCTTCATATCGCGGTACACGATGTCCATGGAGTGCAGGTGGAGAAGCCCGGTGGTTATCTGGGCCACGTAGTAGACAACGCGCTCCATTCGGATGCCCCGCTCCCCGAGCTTGTAGATGTGGAACCCGAGGTCGCCGCCGTTCATGAGGTCCATGACCATGCACAGGTGAGTCTTGTTGTCGTAAGCGTAAGCAAGGTTCACAACGAATAGACTGTTGACCTTCTCCAGGATCTGCTTCTCCACGAGGGCCATCTCCTCGCCAGATTCCTTCTTCAAGCACCTCTTGTTCAGCTTCTTGCAGGCGTACATCTGGCCCGTCTGTTTCACCTGCACCGCACACACCTGGATGGGGAAGCAACAAGGAACATTACGTCAGACTTCATAAAAAAAGACTTTTATTTAGATGGTGGGATTTCTGCCACATACCGCGCCAAAGCCACCTCTACCCAACGTCCTGAACTCATGAAAGTATCTGTCGCTGATCTTCTGCTTCTCGTACTCCTTCCACTGCAAGAACCTATAAAAAAAGGGGCTATTCAGATACTCGGAGAAAGGCTTCCCCCTCAGGAAGTCTGTAGTGTCTTCTCTCATCTGGTCGGATGTCATTTCAAAGTCTTTGTCTGACAATCTCTTGCATCTTTCAGCCGCCTCTCCCGTGAGATACGAGAGAAAGCTGCCGGACTCAGGTTGACAGAACTTGGCGAGGATCCTTTGCTTGGCCGCCTCTCTGGCGTCATCTTCAGCGAAGCACCAGTCGCTCAGCTCCTCCAGGAACTCGGCGGCGACCCTGTACTGCGGGTTACAGGCCCGGAGGAACTGCTGGAACAGCTTCCTCCCGATGGGCTGTCGCTCACACAGCGACTCGTACTTCCTCCCCACCGCCGTCCGGAGAGCGGAGGACATCTTTGGTTTGGGCAGCGTCAGCGGGGGCCTGAGTTTCCTCAGCTCGTCCCGGTCGGTGTGCTGAGCCGTCAGGTAGGCCGTGTTGGCCACCAGGCTGTTCAGTCCCAGCAGCTCCCCCATGTTAGAGGCCTCCTGCGTCGCGGGCAGCCGGGCCCGACCGTCTCCAACACCACAGCTGGTCCGTCTGCAGGGTCCAGGCCCAGCTGAGCAGCACCTGCATCCTGAACATCCTCCCACCTGCGCCTCTCGCAGCAGTGAGAGGACCACTGTCCTTCTGGGATGTCCTGTTAGCTAAGTGTCTTTACGTGCTTATTCTGCGGCGGCACTAAGGGAGAGCAACTTACGTGGTTTGAACTTAAGAGGCTTTGGGCTTATCTATTTTTAGCAGATGCAGAGTGTCTGTGAGCTGTATTTGGGCTGCCAGCGTGAGACAATGAGGTGGCAGATTCTGGTCCTAACAACTTATGGCGGATCGTAGCCTGTTGAGAGATAAATAAGGCACTGAGAGGGCTGTTTGAGTGTATGTACGCACGCTTTGTTGCTTATTACAGGAAGGAAAGTGAAGGCATCACTAAATGAGCGGTAATTTAAATAATATATAATAATAATTCAAAATACATTTTCAAGGGAAAACAAATATTTGACTGTTCCAAGTTCCAAATGTGAGAATGTTCTGCTTTTTCTTGCCACACTATATTTGAGTTAAATATCTGTCTTTTAGATAAAAAGAGGTATTTGTTTACATCACCATTGCTCTTTTAAAAAAAAAGGGGTTTTAGACCAAAAGATTGATTGGTATTTGGCAGATGATTCTAAATCTGCAAAACATTTGTATAATGTTGAACTTTTTTCGGTATTAAAAGTAGAGTTAATCATTCCACCCATTGGGTTAACCGATTTGTAGTGGAGGAAGAAGTTGTCAGATCTCTTAATTAACTAAAAGTAGCAATATATCAATATGCAAACTAGAGAATTAGCAGCTAGCAGTACTTTATAGAAAGCAAAAGTATTTGCAAAAAACTCTTACTACTTTATATTTATTATTTGAATTGTTTCCTGATTCATGACCCGGCAGTTAAGGACAAGTACTTGAGTAAGTGTTCTTAGTTACATCTTACAGAACTTTAATCGGTAAGCGTGAAGCTGAAACACGGCCAACATCCCCATGCATGTACCAGAGGCAGAGCGGCTTCCAGGTGGTTCACGCAGACTCCAAAGGTACTTATGGCATTAAGGTAAATCAAGGACTTTGGGCTCCGTCCTTTAACTGGACATTCATTTTGGTTTGCTAAATCACTGTGAAGTCTCTAGATGTTGGAAGTATTCTAAAAGGCCATATGTTCAAAAGGGGGGATGGGCATTAACTTAAACTTCCTAAGCTCTGCCATTCCGGAGCTTTTGAACAGGCTATAAAATATTTGAATAATTTCCATTTTATATGAATTACTGGTGTGTGTCCAAATGACTGGTTGAAAGAACCCATGTGTACAGCTATATACAGTTCTTTATTATTTAAAAAGACACATATTCAGGATCTTCTGAACACCACCACAGACAGTAATGTCAAGTTAACATGTGACCAAACACCGTAACGAGGTTACTTCTTCTCTTCACGATAGGTCCTGAGCCACATCCACCCATCAGTGAACAACAAATCTGCTTTAATTTAGTCCACCTTCCAACTTGGGAACCAGGACTACTGGAACATGCATTCATGCATGCATACATACATTCCTTCATTCATTCATTCATAAGAAGGACGACAGTTGTGGGGGTCAGTGGCTCTCTGCACAGGACGCCGCAGTGATCACTGTCAGGTCTGTCACCACTTTCGGGTGCACAAAAGGTGTCGTTGGAAACCCGGGGCCGCCCGGACTGGGAGCTTATTTGCCGATTCTCTGAACCACCCAGTCCTGTTGGCAGAGTGGGCAGCGGTTGTTCTGCTTCACCCAAAGGGACATGCAGCAGTTATGGAAGGAGTGGTTGCACTCGCCCCATACAACTGAAAGGAGATGAAGATAGAAGACATAAGGCGAGTGTAAATAAAAGGGTACAGCTTAAGTTACACAGATTTATTAAAATACAACTGTGTTTATTTTGATGGGGGTGTAACATACTGTCTAAAGGCAATCTGTGACTTTTTAATGCATTAAGACTGATCTCATTATTAACATCATTGCCATATATGTCATGCTTCTGAGTCAAACAATATAACATGGCATTTACTAGTCTCAAACTATGACAAACGCAGGGAGCAGATACACGGCGTGTGCGTTTTAATTTTACCCAACGTTACTGTTAAAATGTATATCTAACGTTACAACGTTCAGCTGTTAACAATTTAACGTTAGCTAAACAATCTGCCAGAAGGTAATTTGCTTAAGTTAAATGTGCTTTTTCTTCCAAAAAATAAAATTACATAAATTCCCTTGTCATCCTCGTGAGAGTCATTTGGCTTCACACACGAATACTAAAATAAAACCTCCCACTAACTGGCCTCGTAGCTTCATATGACAGCTAGCTACTGCGAACTAGCTAATGTTAGCTTCTGGGATTAGCTTGCCATCTGAAACCAAGTGTTTCTTTCTCCATTAACGTTCCTACAGCGTGCTTAATGGCCGACAATGTCTTACCGACACAGTCCTCCTGTTTGTTTTCCGCCTGGCACCGCAGACACGCGTCTGAAAATAAAGACAAAGATGTTACAGCTAAGTATGCCAACTTCGGTCAGGTTAGCTCCGTTAGCTGGGTTAGCTCCGTTAGCCGGTGCCCCAGCATAGCTAGCGGACCAACAGCGTCTCCTCCTCGGACTCACCCATCACTTGTACCCGACAAATAGCACACGTATCACACTCGACGTCCCAGCTCCACATAGCTACCGCGTTCCACTTCTTGAGGGAAAACATCTTGTCCCCGCTCGACTTGGAGCCTGAAGAAGAGTTGTGGGAGAGAACTATCCCCGGCTCGTCGCCGTCATCCATCTCTGCAGCCGGTAATGCGACGTTAGCCAGGCTAGCTAGGCTAAACAAAATGGACGTCCCCGATATGTGGACGCTTGTGCTAATGCTAGCTTGTGCGGAAAGCATGATTTCTCCATAGCAACAAAAGATGGCGCTGTTCTCCAGGAATTGAAGTCTGCTTTTTTGCTTTTTTTTACATAAATGTATTCTTATTATTTCAGAATAATAACGAAACCCGTGAGGGGAATATAGAGCATTTTTTTCATTCACTTGGGGAATAACTAGTAATACTTGTATTATTATGTGTGTTTTTTTTATTCTGTCACACAGGGAAAGTATTTAATTATGATATGATATGCAGATGGTGTCCAGGGTATGTAATGTATTCCTGCTATGATGTATCCTTCATTCTACATTTGTCAGAAATAGACATATCTCATATTAATCTTCCCAAATGTAATGTTTGCAAAAAACCTTGCAAACATTGGTGGTCTATTATACATTAGCTTCAACACTCATCGCCCAGTATTTCCCCGTATAAGCTCACCAAGAGAGCCTGTCCTCACTGTCATGTTTTCAACACTACAGATCACAGGTAAAAACATTAAATACCAGAGACTGCTGCAATCATTTGTCTCACGGATACATACGGCGACTGAAACTGTTCCCTCACAAAATCAGGATGTTTGTGGGTTTATTTTCACACTTAGTTCTCAAGGAATGCAAAAAATCTAGTCCTGCCCCACAAAACCTAAAAACACATTATTAATCATTCTGGAACAACCATACAGGGATTATACCCTTTTTATTAAATCTCCAATAATGCTAATTATATTATAAATAATGGATTCATATTGTCCGTATATGTAAAGTTAACTTATCTGTTTAGGACCAGTTGATGTCACTTACTCCTTCCCAGGGGTGTCAGCCCCCTTTCTTCTCTTAAAATATTATGATAAGAATCACTCAGACGTTTGTTGATGGTAAAATTACTACCTTTTCCTCTCTCTGTTACAAGCACCGACACTAAACAACAAAAATCATTTTTGAATAACCCGTAAACTGGATTAAAGCTTTTGTTAATGTCATTAATTGTTATCATACTGTACCTCTGGTAAAAACATATTATACAAATCTTGAGTTATTAAAATAAATGATGTAAAATAATAAATAGAGAAACAATTATGTTGTGTAGAAAGTGGTTCACATAGCTATTATCTGTTTGATGATGAAAGGAGGCACCTTTCTTTGCAAAATTGGAGCAATGCTTACAATACCAGTCAAGAGTGTTGATTCCTCACTTCTTTCCCCCCAATTCCACCTGTGCTTCTCTGCTCTTACCTGCTCAGAGGGGTAGATCGGAGGTCGAGGGAGCAGACTCTTTTCAGCTTGGGTAACTGAGTGTAGACCTTCCTCAGGGCGTCCCGCTCGCCTCCCAGGAAGCTCCTGATGCTGAACACCGACCCCCTGTTGTCACAGTGCATTCTCAAAACATATTATTGTATCCTCCACGTCATCTGCTAAAGTCTTCTTCGTTTTACCAACCCTCATTCATGGAGTCATACACAGAATCTTCACTAGTCGGATCAAGTGCTATTATCATCATCAAGTCAAGCCCAGATTAACAAGTCAGACTGTACGTGAGTTTATTATATAAACTTATGTTCATGCCGTACTTTTTCTTTTTCAGTTAATCAATGTGAAACCTCTTCAAGGGCGCCTCTGCATGTAAAAGCCATCAGAGTAAGTGCAGCTGTAAATGAAAAAGGAATGAGTTTTTGCTTTTTTGCTTGAAAATTCAACCCAGTTCAAAATGCATGTTTTATGTGTTAAGACAAAAGTCACATGGCTGCGAGAAGCTTATCTTCCAAAGTACAGACCGTTTGCACCAGACAAAGATGAACTAGATTTTATAACGCTTTACACGTCAATCCAAATTGCATTTATTCAGAGATTTAGGAAAACGTAAATAGATTAAAACCGTATATTTTTTAAAGACACTTTTTATATGAGAAGAACAACTGGAACCCAAAGTAGTTTGAGCTAGACCACATTGAATTTATTCCATACAATCACTGCACATGTAAACCATTTTTCAACATCTGGAACTGGGGCTTAGTGGAGCTGAGTCCTCTTATCTCTATTTGTTAACCTGTCTGCTGAGTAAAAAAAAAGGAGTAACCTATTGCACAGTCAATTTTCCTATCTGTTCCCAGTTTCTTGTAACTGCATCCACCTGGCTTTTGATTGACTGATAACCTTGAGGATTGAGATGTCTGTATGTATTAAATCATACATGAATGGACGAGATGGGGGCGATTGAAATTACTGCCGCATTTGTGAGAAATCTGCAGGCGCATGCACCGCTAAACCCCGGTTTAAGGTTTTTATGATTTCACTTCTGTGCTTGCTTGTTGTCTATTTCCAAATTAACCAGTTTAAACAAAGATGTGAGAGCAAAGAGAGGTGAATAACATTTCATAGAGACAAGTTCAACTGGGGCCATGGGCAACTTGCACTGATAAACATCTGCACGTGTTCTCCTTCTCAATCTTCTGTAGCAGCTCATTCAGCCCACAACCTCTGTTTTATTATTCAAAAAGAATGCTAATAATTGCATCATGAATCGTAAGTATCTTGACAGCAGCACAGTTTCCGACTGTCCTTGAATGCAGCACAGGCCTGAGAGCATCTCGCTCAGACAGCACACAGAGCTGCACAGAGCTGCAGTGAAGTAGACATCCACTACTACTCAGGCTTCATCGAGCTGTGAGAGAAGGTTTGTGAGCCCGGACTGAAACCTGAACTGGACCCAGACCTGAGAGGGGATCAGTCATGACTGCAAGGACCAAGGGAGCGACGGGCCGGGACAAACCAGAGACAAAGAGCCGGGCATCAGGTAACCGATGGACAGTTACACTCGCAGCTGCTTATTATGTGTTACCTTAATGCCATAATCATCTGTGGGACTGTTGACATTCTGGCATTGAAGTCTTTGTTCTTTTTAATCTTGGCCAAAGAATCCAAATCAATAATTGTGTTTTAGGACGTAGATGTTAAAAACACGTTAAGTTGACATTGGATTGATTGTATGAACAAACAAAGCTCAACCAGCAGTGGTGGAATGAGCTACTTTCATTCAAGTACTGTATTTATGTGAAACTTTTATGCTTCTACAATACGTTTCAAGTGTTGTAGCTTTTTCCTAGAACTTTGTAGATCCCGAATAATACAAACTCTAAATCAACTAATAGATTGTTTTTGTAGTTTTGTAGTATAAAAAGCTGAAATGAGTCTTTTTGCATAGTGACCACTTTGATGACTTGACCTAAGTAGTGTAAAAAAACTATATAAATAGTTTATGCATACACTTTTGACACCCATAAACAAGTAAAACAAATGGTGACACATTTTATATTCTATACAAACTGTATTGTGTGACCGTACTCATCCACACTAAGTTAATTATAAAAGCTCAACGGTGTCATCGTTCATCGTGTTTACTGGTTGCTCATTATATTACTTTAGAGTGATGAATACAATCACATGTTTAGATGTTTCTTCCCCCGAATGGATGTTGTCCTTCTTACATGGCTGCACGTGTTACTGTTTAACCACGTTGTGTTTAGAAATGAATCATTGTCGTTTAGTAACGCAAGAAAGACATTTTATGATTTAAAAAGTCTGAGGGTTAAAGTTTGTTTGTTGGATACATTAAACATTGTTATTATTCACGTTGTTTTCCTCCAATATGCTGGATTGCAAACATTCATGACATTTGAAGAGAACAAGAAGGAGACACAGGATTTAAAAGTTAAATTAGGTTCAATTCAATTAGATTGGTCTTGTTTGGCATTTACATCGAGCTAAAAATATGCAGGTAGAAAGCGGCCAAGTCTTTTCCGTTGGACTTAATGGAGCGAGCGCTGTGCCGTGTAACACGCGTGTCTCTCTCCTCTGTGGGGTCAGAGGTGATGGGGAGGGTGAGGGGAGCTCTGTGGCTGGTACTGGGCATGCTCAGTCTCTCCCTGCTGCTGGTGGTGCTGGGAGTCTACACAACGACCCGGACGGAGAGCCTGAACGTGTCCGGCTACGTCTCCGGAGTTATTGTAAGTTCTTGATTTGTCTCTGGATGCCACCCCCCCCCCCTCCCCCCTTCCCCCCCCCCTCCGATGTTTGTTATTCTGCTGAGTTACACCGAGATGACAGATTTGGCAAAGCAGCTTCCAGTACACAAGGTGGGAGTTTTTTAGCAGTTATGGAATTTCAGCTGCAAAGCTTTAGTCTCGGAGCGCCGGCCAAATACTTTGCTTTCTAGTCCTGTGACAGAAATCCCTTTAGGCGGGCTGTAAATGTAATAACTGACCAATCTGTGCTTGTCAGACATCCAGCTGCGTTCTTCAATACCCGAGAATCAAAGTTCTCTTTTTATTTGAAACTGGATGAACATAATGGGAAGTCAATGGCAATCCATCAGAATCACTACATCTATTCACTTCATATCTTGCATACATATATATATATATATCCTTTGAGAGACAAGTAAATCATAACACATAGTGGATATCCTTATGTGAATGAACAATTTCTTTATTTTTGCATAACCCAATGGCTGTGGTCATTACATTATTTGCTTTACAGCTCACCCTGGGATCGTTCCTGGGACTTTTGGGACTCCTCCTGGAAGAAAACCGCAAACAGCTGGTATGTTGTTGTACATACATCCTCCCTCATAACTCTTCCCAAGCTTTTCCCTGTGCACACCAAGCCCCAACAAAGTCACGTGTTTCGGCCAGGAGCACGTTTGTTTACATGGTGACCAGCCGAGCGGCTCTGCAAGTAGCAGAGTTTTGAATTACATCAATGAGGAGGATGCGGTTCTCCTTTACGTCGTCTCAGGCTTTTTGAAATAGGTCAGCGAGGGACGAAAACCACTGATCCTGTTAGTTCCCACTCAACATGAATAACTTTATTTTTCTGCAGGGTGGCTCCAGTTAAGACAAGCACATTCTGGCACTGGCTCACTCAGTGGAAGCCAGATGTTTGAGGTGTAGCGTTCCCAGGGTCCTCATTGTAAGAGATCGATAAGCTTAAACTGCTAGTATGGCCGCGCTACAAAATGTTTCCCCATCAATAAACTGTCCAACGGTTAACTAGCTCTTCCTCAATGCAGCACATCTTGTGTGTCAAATACACACACATTTCATGTGCATCTCATAGCTTTTACTGGCTTATTTTGGCACAGATCAACAGTTCAAATGAGATTTCTACAAAGATGCCAAAACCAACACCAATAGCGCCGTGCCAATACTGACAGGCATTCCTGAGCTTCCTCCGGGTAACGGCCGATAGCGAGTACGGATCCGAACTGAGTCTGAATCGGACTGATATCAGTGTCCGCATCTGAGCAACTTCACAAAATACATGTTTCTATATCTGATCTCTTTAGTAGGACACAATCCTACATGGTTTTGGCCAATTCTAGAAGGCATTTACTCACAGCTGTCAGTCAGTATTCTAGAAACACTTTTCCGATCATCAATTTATAAATCATCGGATTCAATCTTGTTTTACTGTAGCAGTAAACCCGTCCGTGCCTATGTGACCTAATGTCAAACTTTTTATGGGCACGGAGTCAAACACCAGTGCTAGATTTGGTTTGACAGTTCATGACAGAGCACCATTCTTGATTTATGTTTCTTTACTCCTCTCACGTTTCATCCATCATACCAGAAACGTCAAAAACAGCAGATTGTACTGTTCTAAAGGGACATCGTGGAATTCACAAACAAGACTTCTATTGCTTCCTTGACAGCGCCGGCAGTTCTTGGATTTGGTGTCACCTTTTTAAACTTTTTATCTTTTTCACTGTGGCGTGAAATCGAATTGAAGCAAACTTTCTCATGTTTTATACTAAATGTCTTGCACCAATGAACAAATGAACTTTCCAGGTGGTGGTAAATTGATATTGTGATTATTGAAAGAGTGCAAGAACCCCGGAGTCTTTTTTTGGACTCTTTATGGTCACATATCTCTGTTTTTTTGCTCTCATAGGCAGGAATAACATTATCCCTTGGAGGAGTCAGAGTTTAAACAAAGAGGACGATCACATTGCATCTCTGATACGAGGCCTTTAGCGCTGTGGATCCGTATGAAAGATGGAGAGTAAGGCTACATGAGGAACTAACGACAATATAATGAACTAGATCAGATGAACAGGAATGTGAACGGTGTAAATAAAAAGGTATATCAAACATTTCCACACTGTTGTTGCTCAAATAGCAAACAGCTCGATCAACCCGCTCACAAACCGTAAAACCTGCAGGGCTCCGGCAGGGCATTTTAATTGTCCAGAGGTCACACCAGATCAATACATGATACATGCATTTAGGTGCCAGGCTGTTTGAGGCCTTATTTCTGGGTAAGAACAGGTAACGAGTGTATGGAGGGATGCACAGGGGGGGTTGAATTCTCTGACTGCCCTTCTAGTTCACATGTCTTTGTAGATTTTAGAGCAGACGCTTTAAAGTTATTTAAAGACCAAAGCAATGCTGTAAAAAGGTTGATAAATGCTGCGTGGAAAACAGAAACCACGAAACCCAACGAAACCACTTCAGTTGGAAAGTAAAAATAAACTTTTCTCAGCTACAATTTTCATTATTGTTTAATTCTACTTCAATTACCCAAATACAAAACCAAGTGTTGTTATTTATGCTTTTTTTCTTTCTCCAGCTGACGGCTGCAATCGTATTTCTCAGTTTCGGGATCATCTCCTCTTTCCTGTGCCTGGTGATTGACGGCGTCTGCATCGTGCTAACCATGGTGAGTCACTGATGACACAACGCGGCGACAGAGGACTGTGAATCAATAACAGACCACTGATTTGATTTTCACGTCTGAAATGAAACGGCTCGGCCTTTATAGGACGAGCTGGCTTGGTTTTTTCGACCACATGAATTCGAGGTTGTGAAAGTCTGATGTGAGAAAAACCTGATGGATTCCACCGAGAGGCCCCATCGGGGAAGAAGTGTTACGGGACCTGCGGTTGTCTTTGGCTTAGTGCGCGATATCGTTACCGAGTGTGATTGATTGACAGCGAGCATTTAACAGGTTGAAAAAAAAGAAGCTACATTCCTGCTTCAAACCTCTAATTTAAAACCAGACAGGCTTTAATGAAATAAAAATATTCTTCCATAAAGTGGAATGGCTCACATTTTATAGGCATTATTTCTTGTGATATTTTGTATATGGAGCTTTCAGTCTGAAGAAAGAGAGTATATAATGTTCAATTATAGCTATGTTGTTCCTGCAGTATAAAGAGGAGTTATTAGTGCTTTGGGATTCAATTCTCAAAGTTGGGGTAATTCCTGTCATCATGCTTTGTAAATCTTTCCCCGAGGCTCTTCAGATTGCAGTGAATTATATTCCCCTAGAGATTAAGCAGCAACATAAACTTATCTAAAACCAGATATGGTGTATTATTTGTTCCCCGTGTCTGTTTTCCTTTTCATACCATACGGTACAGACTACGATTTCAAAAAATGTTGGATCACAGATATGTATTATTCATTATACGTGGACTCCATCAGATGAACATCATTAACACCGGGATGTAATGGAGACAATAACAGCGTCACCCGGACCCCAACACAACACCTCATTTCATCATTTACTCTTTTATTCAGTGTATTTTCAGCTGAAGATAAGAAAGGCTGTGTGTTCGTTACCTTAGATTCAGCCCTTTATATCTACACGTGGAGGCGGCAGCCGGATCTGCAACCTCATCGCTGGATGCAGATACGTCTTATGAAATAGACCCGTGACGTTTAATCAATGCTAAAACTATTATGTTTCCAGAGTTGTGGTTTATTTTCACAGTAGTGCAACGGCCTTTTTTTAATCCACAATAGAGATGTATGGTGTTGGTTTAACGTCCTGTGGATTATATGTCCTCTTATATTAACTCCCTGCCAGGACATGCGTCCCCTGAAGGCACAGAGATGTCAGTATTACAGCAGCGGTGGCAGCTTCGTCTACGAGAACTTCTACACCTCTGTGAGTAAAGACGCACACGAACGGGCAACAGCATTTCCATTTAGTGCTGTTTTCCCACTCAAAGATGCAATGTATGCTTTCCTGTATGCATCTTATAAATTAACTTAATAAATAGGTGTTTGTTTTGAATTCAAACCAGATTTTTATTTAGTTCAGTGGCTTTGATTTAGCTTGATTCTCATTCCTTCCCATTATTATTATAATCTTCTTCAGGGTTTTGGTCCATTTTGTTGACATAAAAACATATTACTACTGGACTAATCCGTCTCCAACGGGAAGGTTGGTCTACACTCGTCTGTGTTGTATTTGCAGGTAAACGGTGACATGTGTGGAACTTGTTTACCTCCTTCAGGTGTCGTGTTGGAGTCCAACGGAGTCCTGCAGCCTGACGGTGAAAAGCGGGACCTGCTACTGCTGCGACCTGTACGACTGCGCCAAGTGAGACAATCATGTCCCTGTGTTCACGTCTCCGTTTAAACTGAAAACCATCGGTGCTGAACGGAGCTGCTGTTTCGCTCCGCAGCGGAGGATACCTCAGCAACTACTACGAGTTTGCAGGAGTTGGGAGCTGTGAGGACGTTTTCACGCTGTACGTTTTAATCTGGACCCTCGCCGGCCTGAACCTCGTGGCCTTCTTCGCAGGCATCGCCACCACAGCGGTGCTGGGAAGCGTCAAAGACCTGGTGAGACACAGACTCAGACACACGTTCATTAGGAACACAGTGCATTCGGCACTTAATCAACAGCATTCAACTCCCAGGGGGACTTTATCTGCACAAAAGTATCTATCACCTATAAACCAAAAGGAAACAATAACAAATGTGACGATTTTCTACCTTTAATTAACGCTAATTGACTCTGAAACTAATTAAAGCAGAAGCTTTTAAAACTAAATGTGGGTCAGTTGTATTTGAACATTTCCATTTTAATGTTTAATGTTTAGCCTGGAAGCAGATTCATGCTAAGCTAAGCTCACGCACAATTGGCGCTTGTTTATAGCTTATTTCCTCCGTGCAGAATCCTTCCTGTTGGGAAATGTGGTTGTCATTCACTGCAAAGAATGTACCAACAAAAAACAACAACAATTAATTCTTTCTAAAAGAGAAATCACAGATCAACTGTACGGTTTGAACAGAAGAATACATTGAAACTGAAAAGCAAATAGAACATAGACTCAAAGTCTAAAGCACAAAGGCTAAAACCTGCATGTCTGAGCTATTATTTTAAGTATTCAGCATATCCGTCAATTTAAGTCATCCGTTAAAAAAAAACCTATTGCTTGACCCTAATCAATCCGCATATCATTTTGAGCCATTTAGTGGACATATAAATCACATAATTGGTAGCAGGAGGCCGCAGATTGTTTCACAGGTTATTTAGTGTCAGCGAATATCTTAGTTTGAGTGTTTTCACTGAGATAACGGATCGAGTAAAGAGGTGAATCGCAGGGAAAGCTGAGCTTTCCACCTTCAGAGATACGGGGCGGCTAAATTCAAATGATCAATTATGACAGTTTGGGGGGAATCACTCAGAATGGTCCCGTCTCCGTTTGCTGCTTCTCCCAAAAAAATTTGACCGGTCTTATTGATAAGACAACGGAGGGAAGAGAGAATCCATGAATTACTCCTTTCAAAGCAATTATTCCAGAAACTCTCAACTGAGAAACATTGTCTAAATACACAAAGCATAAAATTATAAAACGGTACTTTCAGAGCTAACACATCTCCATTGACAGAAACAGCAACAGTAGCTCTTCATTCACAGAAAACAGTAAAACGCATCACGACCGTCTGTGTGTCTTTCCACCGTTCCAACAGTCACCAACTCTGGTTTGGGTGAAATAATCGTTTAAATCGAGCCTTTAGATGTGAAAAGATGAATCCTGTGAATTCCTTTTCTCTCTCTGGTCACTGAACGAGTGCAAACAAACAACCTAATCCGCCTTTGCAGATCTGAGCGAAGATTCAGAAATCGAATCAAATCTCAAATTACTGAAATCTTTTTTTAAATCTTTGTTTCTAAATTACGGGACAGAAATTAATCCACTTGCTGGTTTAAAGTTACACTGATGACACACAACTGCCTCCTGAGAAGATTCCTCTACACTGAAAAGTCCCGGCGAAGCGGCACGCTCAAAATTCGGCCTTTGACGCATTCTTTCTTGTCGTTAAGAAACATCGCTGAACAGATGCTCTGTAAACCCCAGAGGTTTCCACATCTGTATCAGCCGAGATCTGCAAATTAGACAAATTAACGCTTGTTAATGCACATTGATGACATTATATTTATCTTACATTAACACAAATTACAGATTGCAGATGTTTTACATGCACCCCCCCCCCGTATGTGTACACTAGATTCAATCAAAGACAGACGGACAGACTTGCAGCTTTGCATTTAGCAGACAGACCACCCATGTGAGGATCAGAACCACCGCGGGGGACCAATGAATCAAAGGGGTTTTGACGGGAAGAATTTGTGCTGCGTCCCTGTGGCTGGATAACGATCACCTCGACAACTACACCGGTTGTGTATTTTGTGCGTGTAACGTGTAGGCAGACGCTCCAAGATCTGAACCATCTTTTTGATTTATTATTTCTCTTATAGTACACCAGAGCAACATTTCCGCCTACCAGTGATACACATGGTGAGTGTATGTGTGTGTGTGTGTGTGTGTGTGTGTGTGTGTGTGTGTGTGTCAGGGGAGCAGCAGCCCTGCGCTGGATCCTTTTGAGAGGACAGCATCCTCTCCGACGGCTCCTCTGCTGACAGACTCCGAGGCACACCCAGTCCACCAGCTCCACCCGGTCAGTGTGCGGTCAACACACACGCACGCGCACAACAGATGCCCTTACTTTAACATACATGTGTGTGGTCCAGTTTGATCTCTGACTTAACACATGTGTAGTCGCCCTGCAGTCGCTGCAGACCAAAAGCAGTCAAGCTGCTAGGTGACCACCCACATCTGATCAACTTATTCAAAGGCTTGTAGAAAAGCTCTTGAGTCAGGTTTAAAAAAAAGAAAGAAAAGTAAGTTATAATAAATAGTTAAATTAGTCTGTTCGTGTTTAATTTTTGCCAACACAAAGTCTGTTTTAAACAAGCTTTTTGTCTGAGAATCAGTTTAGTTTCCCGCTCACACAAAGACGTCTGACCCGAGGTCCTTCTTTGTCCCCTCCGTCCTTTCCCGCCGGTCCAGCGAGCCACCGTGTATTTCCCTCCAGCAGAAGGGACGGCCACCCCGCACAGATTCCCCTCGTCGTCGACTCGTCACACCGAGTCCAACCCTCCTCCCTTTGCACCGCCGACCGGCGCGGCGTCCTACAGGCTGCACGGCGGCTCCGCGTGAGCCAAAGAACCGGCAAGAACCGGTGATCCCTGTTGGTGTGAGGACGGGAAGAAGCCCAATATCAAAAGAAGGATACGTTGGTCTGAATATATTACTCAGAAATATTACAACACAACTCAATGCATTGTGCTCAAAAATATAAATGTCTTAAGTTGTTTAACGTGTGTACATTGAATGTTAAGTAACACAAATGTGTCGGCTTGAAGTCAAACTTCTACTTTCGCGAACATAAATGAAACCGTGAATGAACCATAAATTAAAGGTGTAAGTTATATCATCAATAACATAACACTTGATGACTGACTGACACAAGTGTAACTAAAATTTGATCTAAGTGACACACAAAAAAAAATTCTGCAAGTAAAATTGATAAAATGAATTAACTAACAGCACAGATTTGTCTTGGTTCTTGAAGTCGGCACACAGAATGTGGTACTTCAGATAAAACAGGTGTTGTAATATATATATCTTTAACGTACAAAAGTCCCACCAAAGTTCATTATTCAATTACTTCTAATGTATACAACTCAAATGTAATGTTTGGTTAAAGTCAAAGTAATATTATTCTAATTTGGCTTGTATTCATTTAAATAATTCTACTTTTATAATACGCCTCCTTTGTAAAATGTACCAAATAAACCAACTTTTCTCACCTAAAACGCTGTGTTTTTCCCTCAGTAAGATAACGAGGTCTCGACATCCAAAGCCAGAGATCCTGAGCAATTTCGGCAAACGTTTGCCAGAAATAGTGAGCTTGAGGCCCGTAGGTAACCTCCTGGGCCACGTTAGCTCTGGTTTGCTCTGGGATGCTTCACTTTGGCTTTAGCCACAGCGTGTGGCTCAATGCCACAATTGGTTTTATATTGAGAATGTTTACCAAAAGAAAAAAAAAAGCAACTACAAGAGGAACAGACAGTACGAGCCAACAGCCCCGGAGTATCTGTCCAGCGAAAGAGAGAAACCAAAAACCACACACACAAATAAAACAGCAGTAAAAATTCACCATTAACCATCTCCTTGTTATTTGGTGCCTCCAGAGAGGCAGTGGAACTGTGGTGTGCCGTAAAATATTAACAACTCCATATACTAAGTCCTTTGAGGGGAAATCTGCACCGCCAATTACCAACAATCTGTAAACGTTGAACGCAATGATCCCACAGTGGAATCAAACTAAGGCGCAGAGCCAGAAAAGCACAAACATTTCTCGTGTAGCTGCAGCAGCCCCTCAATCTCACTCGCTGTCAGTAACTTTCCCCATTTGCTTTGAGCTGGACGGTGGAATTCCCTGAGACGATCGCAGGGTTATTGAGATCACCTGTTGTTCTCTGCGTGTGAGGAAGGGAGGACGCAGGACTGAACACTCAGGATGTTCTGATCCTTCATCAATTTGATACAGATGTCAGAGGCTCTGTTCTTCAGGCCAATCGTTTCCACTTCTGTGATTGAGGGGGATTTTGAGCGACCTGGGGTAAACTGTCCTTGACTGACAACACGATCATGACTTATTTTCACTGAAACTCCCTTCAAACACATTCCCCTCATCATCACACAGGCATTTGCAGTGGGAAGGTATTTCCGCGTTCTGTGGTGCGGTTCTCAGGGCTTCCTTCTTATCTGGGAAATCAGGGGAATCGGTTCTGCCACATTCTTACGATAAAGACGCCACGTCTTATCTCAACGGACTTTCCGTAACAGGTAAAAGAGGTGGTGGGGCTTTGCTTTGTCATCCCCGTTTACCTTCACTGTGGTTGGAGGCGGGGAGGAGGCCCACAGGTGGACGTCTCAGAACCTGCTCCACCATCGGCATGACCCCAGGAGGGGCAGCGAGTTCGGCTTTGATGTGGTGACCCTTTAAAACCCCGTCAGGCGTCTGCAGGGGACAGGAAGTTCATGAACAAGCAGTAGAAGCACACGCACGGAGAAACACAGGAGGCTCTGCGTGTTCCAGGGTTCGAAACCAGCGTGCGTCAGTGCGCTTCATTGAACTGGCCCTAAACATTTGTTAAAGCATCTGTTTTTCTTCAAAGGCGAAGCTGTGTAACATAAAGACGTCTCACGCTGTGGTATCGGACTACATTTGCAATATTTTCCTGTCATAGAGACTTTTGTGATCGTGTTCCCCGGCCAGCAGTTTCTCCCTGTTTGCAGTCTTTGTGCTCGCAGCTCAGCTCGGCACGTGGTATCAGTCTACGCACTTAACTCTTGTTAAGAAAGTGAAGAAACGTATTTTACAAAATGTTCCTTTGGGAAGAAGGAAGGAATGCCACAGGAAGGGAGAGCCTCAGCATAATAACACTATGTCAACAGGAAACAAACTGTAGAAAAAAAAATGTAAAAATTGATTTATTTAATTATGTTCTGTTAATATTTATACATTTCTGTATTTATTCTTTTATTTAAGCATTTATGTATTTATTTATAAATGTATTTAAGCACTTATTTATACATTTATTCAAGCATTTATTTATACTCATAATAAACAGAGAAGAGGCTGAAAGTCATTGCTTTGGTCAGACGAAAAACAAAACGTATCAAAATGGCAGTAAATAAAATGAAATAATGTGACTTCCCAGAGGTGAAGTTTGGATATTGGAGGTTTTGTCCTTTCCAAAACGGACAGATGTCAGACGAGCCTGCACACACGGTGCAGATGTTTTATCTCCTCGTCCAACACCAACAAACCTCACACGCCGCCCCGTCCAGTTACTCCTCCCCAAAACCCCCGTCAATCAATTTGAGACATAAAGAACTTGGCTCGTTGTATATTTTAAGGTCATGTGAACTCAGCGAGTGCAACAACATCTTTAACTCATTTGTTTTTCAACGAGACAGGTTGAGACAAAACGGGCGATATGCCGCGTGCTGTTGAAAGCGCCGTCGAACCCCCCCCCCCCCCCCCGTGTCCACATGCTGACAGCTTGATTGACATCAGGGCAGGTGTCTATGACCGTACACCTATAAAATAACAAGAGGCCTCTTTGTGCATAGCTACACACTAAAATCAGAAATATACAAAAAAAAGTACTATCTTGGACTTCTTGCAAGAGCAAACCCTTCATTGAAAACCATATAAACTCTGGTCAAATGTTTTTTTTTGCATTACACCTTTACACATAAACACCGCACAAATAGTTGTGCATTCAAACCGGTGTCGCCGTTATCTGGCTATTGTTATTAGTCTTGGGGAGTTTCATGAGTAGCGTGTGGTTTATGAAGACTATGAACAGTAAAACGCACAATAATTAACTGAAAATGTCAGCAGAAATTACTGCATTGTACCGTGAACATAATACGGAATATAGCAAGCACGTTCGTCTAAATCTCCCTCCAGAATTGTCTTCCAAAAAAAGAGTAAACCTGACAAGTATACAGGTAGATGTACGCAGACAATGTGCTGTTGATGCTACCATCTGACTTTGTGCAACTTCGGGCGTGAATTTCAATGAACATGTGTAAAATGTTTTTTTACATTTAGGTAAAAACAGCAGAGAGTCACTCTGAAAATGTTCATGTTGGTGGAATCCAGAGCAGCTTTCAGCAGGAAATATGTAAAGTTAATTAGTTTTAATTAACTTATAAAAGTTAAGAAAAAATGTATAATATATATAATTATTTCTTAGGTTATCAGCTTTCCTGCATTATCACATACAATAGGTTTCTATGGAGGAACGCAGAAATGATTTCAACCTGATGAGTGTGCGTTTCATGAAGTGGAAACATTTGTGCTGTACATTGTTGCTACACCAGAAATTTAACAAGCGTTGGCATTTCAAGTGTTTTATTGTAAATTGCTTCAAATGGACACAGAAAACACAACACACATAAGGAAAATAAAACATTTCATGTGTAAAAAAAAACAACAAAAAAAACAAACATCGTATCGAAGTCGCAAGGAAACATTCAGAAGAGATGAGCCGGCGGATGGGCAGGACAGGTGGAAGCCTTCAGCAGAACGTCCCGAGCCCTCGCACACATTCCTCGTTGAACTCGGGCGCTGAGCTACGACTCTCACAGAGCAGATGCACGCGGATCGGCAGAAAGAGGAGATACGTTTGCAATTTCACTCCCGCATTTGAAAAGAAAATGCAACATTGTTACAGTCTTTGAGAGTAAACTTGATTTACAGACCCTGAAGTTCATTTCTGTTGTTGCACAAACCTGGACATCTCCTGGTTTCTGTCAATAAAACGAGTAGTCGGCCGCTACCTTGAATTGCCGTGATTCATCCGATATCGGCGCTCTTTTTAGTTTGGCAATATTACACGAGAAAGTCAAACTAGATTACTTCCTGGCCACTGGAGGCATTTCCACATTCTGACATAACAAATGGAAAAAAATGTCCCTTATTAAAAGCTGATAAAAAAAAAGCACAACTCAGTGAGCAAGCACTCGCAAAACATGTTCACCTTCATATGAGAACGAGCACACGACCAGAAGACATCAACCGCTAGTTTACTGGCACTTATTAAAACCAGCCATGGCGTTGACATGCAAGATTTACATTATACAGCAAGAACTTTATGCTGAAATGACATTTTGACAAATTTGGTCCGGTCATTTTTTGTTGCAAACAAAAACGTTACACAAACACAGGCAGCGTTCATCCTTCTCCCATCAGGCAGTTGATTCCCTCTGAGTGAGGGGGGGCTCTGAGGGGTCACACGCACCAAAGTCTCCTCTGTCATTGTGTTACGCAGACACACACACAGTGGAGGCTGGGCAGAGCTCTCTCACACACACACACACACACACACACACACACACACACACACACACACACACACACACACACACACACACACACACACACACACACACACACACACACACACACACACACACACACACACACACACACACACACACACACACACACACACACGTACCATACAAACACTTCCAATCAGTGTTTCCGAAAATACAAAAAAAATAACATTTTCCTAGAAAAATAGATCGTTAAATACACAAGATATGCACGTTAGAAATATATGACGGACCAAAGACTAAACCACTTATTTCCACAGGCAAAGAAAAGTACACGGTCGACCCTGTTTCAGCAATACACGTTCTTTTGTTTTTAAAATGAATTCAACTTCCCTTCATTGTTCTAACGGGCAGATGGTAGAGCAAAAAATTCAAAAATAAGTCGAATGACAGCAAAAACACGTTGCTGGTTTGATTTCAGGATTCTGTATCAGTTTTGTGTAAGTTGAGTTCTTAAGTGGTTTGAACACCTGGTTGGACTCTTCCTGTCACAGCAGTGCTCACAGGCTGCCCTGCTTCTGCAAAATATGATTGTTAGGCAACAAATAGTATTCACATCAAGAGAAAGATAATCCTCCAGGTTTTTTTGGTTTTTTTAAGAAGTGTTTGTTGGCTGCCGTGATTGTCTGAACTAATTTGAGGATGACGGGGATGATGTGCTCTTTTGACCGATTCCTCTCTACGGTTTCATTCCTTACACAAGCCACTACAGATATGCTGCGATGCTCCCAACACAAAGGCATAAATCTGATCCACAATGTACCAAAAGGATTCACAATCACAGGGAAATACAAGTCTACACCACAATCATGTGCCATTAGGATTCCAAACCAAATGCATGCAGTCTGCTCGCTTTAAGTCACTAAAAAGTTATATTGAAAAAATACGCACACACAAAACATACATATCTATATAGATATATAAATGATATATATAAATATATATCTATATAGATATATAATTTTCTCCATTTTTAAACCTTTGTATTCAAAATACATATTATTTTTTTCAAGTCAAAACTATGAAACGGTCTTTGGTCACGAAAAATATCTTAAAATCTACAGGCTATAAATGTCATTTATACACGGATTAAACAAAAAGATTACTCAAGATCATGTAACTGATCAAAATGGGGAAAGCTGATAACAAGTATCTAATCATTTCCATTTGGAGTGTTCCAAATATATAAAGTGCTTCTGCATCATTCCCTAAGCATTTAATGTGAAAGAAACATCCATAAACGTAAGGCAGATTGGTTTCATCGACTCCGCCGTCCTCTGAAAATATGTAGAGACAAACGTTCAGAGGACGGGCCGTCCACGCGTCCAACGAAAACCCCCCCGATGAGTCCACAGCGCGGCCATGGCAACAGACCGACGGGACGCCCGATAGGAACCCCGACAAATCTACCCTACGTCCTCGCTGCCCCCCCCCCCTGCTTACAGAATATCCCCGATCATCACATGGTTGTTCTTAGAGCCAGCGTTCCTGCTGTGGACGGCCCTTAGACGGGTAGAGAAGGATGAGGGGGATGGGGGGGACAAATAGACAACGATGGGACAGGATGATACAAATCATCAAATCTAAAAAGACTGATGTCGGAGAAGAAAAATGTAAAAAAAAAAAAAGAAATTGGGAGAGCATCATCACAGCCGTTGATATAAAGTAAAAAATAAAAGAATTCTGTGAATAAAAAAATTAGCAGCCTATTCACACACCATCTACTGTAATGATGCCTTTAAAAAAAATAAAGGCCGTAGACGTCAAGGAGGACATAAATTAAGAAAAAGGACAGAGCGAGGAGAGGAGACGAAGGAAGGAAAAGAGGAGACCAACACCACCGAGGTGGTTTCGTTTCATATGGAAGACAGAAGCTTCGCTCTGCTTCCTTCTGCTTCCCCCTTCTTAGGCGGCCCCTGCAGTACTGGACTCGTGCCGTCTGGAGGTCCGGGTGAATCGCTCGCTCTTTCCTCACCGGTACGACCCCAGCGACTCCTTGAGGACTACCGACTCCTGCTGGGCGTGGCTCTCCCTGGCCACGCCTCCCCGTCCGGGTTAAGAGGTTTTCCCCACTATGGGGTTGTCGCTGAAACGGAAAGGATAACAGAGATGAGCTCCTGGTCTCTGCGTGAGTGGGAGATGAAGCAGAAAGAATAGGCCACAAATTCATGTAAACGTATGTGGCAGTAGTCAACCATAAAGGTTTAAATCAATGTATGCAAACACGCTCGTTGCTACAGTACGAACACAACAGACTCACAGGCTCCCGTACTGCGCCGTGGTGTCGCTCCTGACGTCGTGCTGCTTCTGTAGTTCCTCCATGACGTTTCGGAGCTGTTTGAGCGTCTGAAAGGTCTCTTTGGGTTCCTGAATGGTGAACTTGGAATAGTCCTCCTGCTCCCGCTGAGGGCCCTGATACACCGCCATGCTGGCACACGCATCTGCAGACAGGAAACACGTCAACACACAGCTCGACTAAGAACCTTGACCTCAGTCGGTTTTCTGACTGATAAGCAAACATGCTTGAGACAAAAAACACAACAATAAAACAGCAATGCAAAAGGTACCACATGCATCAAATCCCTTTAAATGATGCACTGACCCTCCATGTTCTGGAGCTTGGTATCGTTGGAGGAGAGGAGGGAGAAAATCCTCTCTGTTTCCCGGTCGCAGTCTATGTCCAGCTGCAGGTTGGCCAGCACGGTGCTGAGAGGAGAGGAGAAGTGCAACAAGATCTCTTTAAGCAGGGAATCGCAGAGCGCCACAAAAGGATACTAGGATTTCAATTTGCTCAGATTGAAAATCAAGTATCCAACCCGTGAATATCCAGCAGACATGGAGCTTGCATGTCAATTTAATGACATTATGAAAGAGTTTTTTTTTTGTTTGTTTTAAACTGTGTGGTTTTCCGTGGTGAAATTCTTTCCGTGCAGCCATGTTCTGTGAAAAGGTTGGACCATCAATGAGTTTTTTTTTTTTTGGCGTTTCATGTTTTCCAGTGAGCGGAATAGTTTTGTTGGCGGAGGCAGCGAGGAGGATTTGCAGAGGTCAGCGAGCAGATCTTACAGCTCATAACGAGGGGCATCCCGCCGGGGGCTGGTTTCCACAAGCGATGAAGTGCCGGGCAAAGCCAAGTGAAGTTGATGTCCGTTGTGTTTATTGTGCATCATGATTACACAATTTTGAAAAATCTATTTTATACATCTTGCGCAATGTGCTTTCTGTGAAGCATTTTGTGGTGCCTCAGCTGTCGGCTAGTAAAGGCATAATAATGTTGACTTTTGTTTGGATAAAAAGGCCTGTTATCCATCATAGAATTAGGAGACACAATGGTGATTAAGCCTACGGCCGACAGTCCAATAAACTGTCTTTCTGTGGGGACGTTTCCAAAACAAATCATATCCATGTCTCTGCGAGAGCCCACAAACACACCTGCAACCACAATCTGACGCCATCAAAAGATTGAGTAACTTTAAGAGCGCTGCACGGAGAGTTAAACTGAAAATCGGTTCTACACAGCAGGGCGGTGCCGTAACATCCAGCGCGGCTGGTCGAATGTACCATAAGCCGGAACCGCGTTCCAAAACAGCAGCTAGCGATCGCAGCGAGCGGCCCATTATGTCCGGCCGCACGCACGCGGGACTCACGTGGTGCAGGGCTTGCAGCCCGGCGCGTTGCTGCTCTGGCTCCTGCAGCACTGCCAGGCCCCGCCGGTGTAATTTGACGGATGGAAGGCGGAGAGGCGTCCCTCGTTGCAGCGACTGACCGGGCCCAGGACCTCCAACCACTCGCTGGCCTCTACGCAGTTTCCTGCTTGCACATACAGAGGCTTCTCAGAATGGAGCACCTGAAACATCTGACACAAGAGAAGCAGAGCGGTTTTAAGTGGAAAGAGTCTCAAAATGGTCACTTCCCAGGTCAGGTCAGCCTCGGATAATTCCCAGCCAGGAGATTCAATTAGGTCGTTTTAATGCATAAAAGCTTCAGGCTGGAAGTGCTTGAGGTTTCCCCACACTTGGACGAGTAAACTAAAGTTATTCCACTGCTGATTTCATCACATTCTCACGAGACAGACACTATACAATCCTCATTTCGTTATTCAAATTTTGTGGATCCATCCTCAATCCATCCTCAGGAATCATTGGGTGTCTGAGAGGAATTGGCTTACATTCTTGCGGTTAAAGGCACTTTCATCTAGTTTCTCCACCGCCTGGATATTTTTGACGTCGATGATGCAGAGGGCCTCTTTCCCTAGATGTTGAAAAAAAGCATTCTGTCAAACATGAGTCAAGTAAACGACAACCTATCCTTTGAATCAACATCTTTTAAAGGCTTGGCAGAAATAAAAAAAAGAAGAAAGAAATGAGACGAGTTACGGTTGTATAATAACTGCACAAGGTTAACAAAACATCAATGGACAAACAAAACAGGGGCCATCCGAGGTGCCCATATAGGAGAACTTATTTCCTTCAATTTAAAATACAGTTTGGTGAAGTCGGCTCTATGCGTCGCTGTTTTAACAGAGAGGTTTTTGTGGGGATTTAATTGGTACCCTGAAATCAAACAAAGCTTTGTGCTCTCACAGCTTAAGAGAAGTGGCTACTAATCTCTCGAGGCCTTCTGGTCCTTCGCCAACTTAATACGGACTTTATTTCAGCAGACATTTTACAGGCAGAGACTCAGGTCTTTATGCCTCTTTGTTTTTGTTTTCTCTTGAAAGATACGATTCTTTTACTAGTCTCACAATGGGGGGGGGGGGGGGGACTAATAAAAAGGAAAGATATTTGTTTCTGTAATGTGTTGAAGGTCAAGATGACAGTAATCACTAATGTATCATCACATTATCCATCTCTAGTGAGTCCAGCTGGAGCCTTTTACTCAGATCACCAAATAACTTTAAAGTCAAGTCAAACATCGAATTATTTGACGCCACCTGGTGGTGGTGTTGAGAATGATACTGAGGTAGAAGGCGCCCGATAGCGTCAGTTTATATTATGCAGCAAGTGCTGGATCAAACTAGACACGGTTGAGTAAGAGATGCAGGAAAGTGGTCTAACCTTTATGTTTGTGGTAGGAGAGCTCCCTGTTGGTCACTCGGAGCCAGCGCTTTTTAAAGTTCTTCTTCCCAAGGTGTTTTCTCCCCTGGCCACGTTTCTGTACTTCCCTAGAAGGACACACACACACACACACACACACACACACACACACACAATGTCAAAAGTTAAATATTATCTGAATTCAAAGCAACAGCGCTGAATACAGTTTGTTTTAATTGGCAATCCGTCCCTACTTCTAAGTCACACAATGGTAAATGTGAGACGCAGCACCCTGAATCCCTTTTCATTGACAGTACAAAATCAACACGCTGATAATGAACACTAACCCCTCCTTGAGGACCACCGCGTCCTCCAGCCCACTGGACTCTTTGCTGATGTTAGAGGAGATCTCATCCAGAAACTGGAAAACAGGACCATGATCTTAGTGTTGACTATATCACATCAATAAATAAATAATATTTGCATTCTGTGGACTTTAGAGTACATTTCCAAATACCTTTTTAACTTTTTCTATACACTTGTCTTCTTGGAATGATTTGAAGAAGTCGTACATGTAGGTTTCTTTGAAACTAGACTACAAAAAGGGGAAAAGAAAAAAAGAGTTACACAATCAAAGACATTAAGTATCAGTTCTTTCTAGTCACTGTACAGCAGAACTGTTTTATTTAACTGTTCAGTGTCCCTCTAAATGTACAAGGAGAGGTGGCTTTATTTATCTGATCCTACAAAGTGAATAATACATCCACTGACTCTTCCTCTCGCTTTGTTTTAGCCGGCCAGTAAGAATTTCTCACCATTTTTTTTGACAAACTACCCCAGCTACCCAGCGTCTGGATCGTCTTTGAGATGAGGGTGAGTGTCCGGGAAATCTCCGTATCCTGGAAGTAAAACACGAGTACAATGACAACAGTGTCCTGTATAGGCCACGAGTGAATTGGCTCTCCAGTTTATCCATGAAATGGAGGCGTGCGCTTACCGGATGGTGGGAACGGAGCTGGAAGGAGTGGGGAGAAAGAACAGCGACGGCGAAGAACCGCAGGAAAACAAAGCTGCTAACGGCCGAGTATTGAACATGTGGGTCGGCTGTAGAGAGAGAACGTGGCAGGAACACCGGGGCATTTAACCATCACACATGTACCCTCAGTGTTTCTAGCATGTACACAATGTGGCCGCTGCACGAGGAAACACTTCTAATCTTTATAGAAGCTCTTGTTTTCATTATGTTTAACCAAGCAGCTGATTGGGTGAATCCGTGGAAGTCCACGTGCTACCAAAAAGAAATAAACTACAGCACAGTGATATCTATACACCCGTTTGGCGCAGGGGACTGCTAAAATATTTAGTTTCTCTGGAACAATAAGCTGTGACCTGCTGAAGAGTTTCACAGAGTCAGAGGAATGGAAGAAATCACAGACGGACACCTTCCAGCCACGGCTGGATCATAAATGCATCTGACCAAGTGGCTGCAAAAATATACGACAGGCTCCAGCACTTACCTGGGAAGCGTTTGCAGGCCAAGTGTCTCAGTGACCTGAAGACATCACACATGAGTGGGGGACAGCTGGAACTCGACTGGGTGATGGAGGAAAAGACTTTCTGGACGTAACCCTGAAGGTTCTCCTGCAGGGGCCAACAAAAGAAAACCTTGTTAAGAAGAGAGAAATAAAACAGCTAGAGGCCTCTGATATGAACACTGATGTGGATGATGTACAGGAGAGTCAGACACATTGTCTGATTAACACTTCTGACATCTCAGCACGGTCGAGAGACGAGAGCATTCACCTTGTTGACCTCCGTGTTGTCACCTTCCTTCAGTTTCACAGGGTCGATCTCGCAAGTTTTGTTTGATTCACAAATCTATGAAAGGTTGAAAAAATAAAGCGTTATTCCGATACTTTTGAATTTGAAAGAAGAGATTATGAGTAAGAGCACCATTGAGATTTCTTTCAGAATTGACTATGAAATTAAATTTACATTTAACATGCCATTTAATGAACAGTAATATTAAGTCACAGATGAAGACAAATCATGAAGACGACCAAGTCACATTTTTTGCAAATGGAGAAAGACTAAAATCAAAAAGCCACAAATAACGCACTAAAATAACAATTCTTTTTAACTAACCACCATTAACAGAAAGCATTATTGAAAATTACTGAAAAAAGAGGAAGTAGCACTACCTTATTATTATATTGTTATCTTATGATTACTAAAAACTCCACACCAACCACTCACACCTCCAAGTTAGCAGCGGCGAGGCAGCCGTTTCAGGGGAGTTTTGTGACATCTTCATTTCCAGTATCTATGCTGAATGTGCGTGTGTCCGTGTTACCTCGTCTATTACAGGCTTCAGGGTAACTGCCAGGTAATTCTTTCCCACAATCTTCATCATGTCATCAATGCAGCGCGTTGCCAGTGAGTTGCCACGGAATATAGTGTTAGCCTCCCTGCAAGGACACAGCGATACACCAGAGACATTTTCACCAGGTGAGACACCATTTACTTACAAAAGACCATTTCACAGTAAGATGGTGGAGCAATCCAGCCAGCTCACTTTTCCAAATGAAAAAAAAGGTCAGTCAGAGTAGGTGTATTTATTTTTGCAACGTGTCCAGCCCTTTACTGCAGATACTCACTGAGTGTTGTCCAGCTCTAGAGCCGCCACAGCGGAGACAAAAGGCACAAAGCGATTGTGGTGGAGCAGCAGTCGAACCGTGGGCAGAACCGCCTCGTATCGCTCTCTGCAGATGTCCCCCAAGATGTGTGCTGCCGACGCCGAGATGGGCTGAGGGGGGCAGAGAGGCGACGGAGGGAAAAAAGAGGAAATGAGTAGGAACACAGAATCGGCGCGCGGTTACCAGCAAGTTAGAGCATTTTAGAAACCGGGCCCCACAAAGGAAGGCCCCCCACACCCATTAACTATCCACTAAACCCCCTCGAGTGGTTTCAGTGTACAACTCGGTGCAAATCTTTTACCTTCACATCCGGGGATTTGAGCAGCAGGTTGCAGAGTGGTGTGTAGCAGGCAGATGGCAGCACCGTGTCTTCTATGTAGGTCAACTTCAGACGCAAGGATCCCAAATCATCAGACTTGGACTTGCTGCCGTTTCCTTTAGGCTGGAGGAGATACCTGTTGAGAGACACCGTATCACTGTGCTGTGGAGTGTTTACAAAACTGTTCAATATGAGTATTAAGCTACTGCCAAGACAACTGAACTATACAAAACCTAAAGCAACCTACAAAGAATTAGAAGGGGGGAAATAGTTTTAAGTTCACGATCCCTTTTAGAAAATAGACGCTGATCTGCTCAACACAATAAAGAAAACAATGGAAGAAGAATGAGCTGCCGAACCACCGGACTTCAAAAACAACTTTACTTTATCTGGCTGTGAGACTCCTTAATTCAAACTGCATACTCTAGTAGTAGAATAGTATTTTGTGTGTGTACGTTAACTGCGATGATGCTTCCTTTGGAGAGAAATTAGTAGCTCATCTGCATCAACAAGATGAACGCAGCTCAAACGCTTAGTGACGGGGGTCTAAAGTAATCTCAACAAAGCGAATGCCCACCAAAAAATCAGCTGTTGTTTGGCAGCTTCTTTCAGCTGTTTAAACAGGTTTACTGAACTCGATAACTTCCACTTAAAAATCAAAGCATTTCTTAAAGTGCTGAATTTTATTAAGAAAATGTTGCTTTTATTTCTGCTGCAGTCTTCCTGAAAGCCAACAGGTGGCGCAAAACACAAACTGATCAAATGCAGAGCTGAACTGCAGTGCTTCAAATGCCGCTTGATCGGTCGTCACAGTACGCGGCGGCACAGGGACGCTTCTCCCAACAGATCTCCTGCACTGATCTCCTGGCGCAGACGAGTCGTTATGTGTGCGACACGGACCGTTTCCAGCAAAAACAAGAGGACATCAGCTGCTGCCACCGTGCGAAAAGCCACCCACGCATTGGACTCCAAGCCCTCATGTACAGATTGCTATCTGGCATAAACCCAAATCACCTACACAGCAACAAAGCTGGGAAACACCCAACGAAAATAAGGAGAGGGAAGATGCTTCACTTCCCCTTGTAGTTACACGGAAAAAGTAAGTCTTAAATGGATACGCAGGGTGGAGTCTCTTGAAATAAAAAAAAATAAAAAGACCTGATCTATTTACAAGGAAGATGACTGCGTCTGGTTTGTTTTAATTGAAAACAATGTTCTAACTTATAAAGGAACACAGAACTTGAGTCCTAAACCGTCACTGTCCCTGAAACTTCCGCAGTTCAATATCTATTACCAATTATTATTACCACGGAGACATCTGTTTGAAATAAGGAATATTAAAGAAATTAAAAAAAGATTTCTGCTTGTTGACAAATATGGGCCAGAAGTGTTTTTCTGCAGGACAGATCTTTTAGTTGAAAGTTATCTTTCCCTGAAAATCTAAAAAAATTGGCCTTTTTATTTTTCACCTCCCCAAAAGGGGTTGAAAATTGCGTAGCCAGCTTCCTTGTCCTTGTTAAATTGTTATCAACAGTAATTTATCAAATTTTTACATGTATGAATACATATTATTATCGGACAATAAACCAGGATTTGTATTTGAATCCCATCTTCAAAATACAACGGCCAATTACAAAAAGAATGTAATAAAAGCCTATGAAAAGTGTCAACAGAGTCCCATTGAATAGAGTTTGGGGAGTGTGAAAGTCAGAAGAATTCAATGAATCTAATATTAAGAAACACCTTTTTCTGAAACTTCTGAATAGAAAAAGACACCGTCTTCTGTTCGGTCCTTACCAGGCTTTGTGGATGTGGCTGTTTCGAAGGATCTTGACGGGGACCCGCGTCTCCCCCAGAAACACATCCTGAGCCAGATTCTCGTTGTTCCACAAATCAACTCTGCAAAAGTAGACGGTGGGAAGTAAGACACGTATTTTCATGTACGAATACGTGGAATTGAACCATTTGTGCAAGACGCTTTTTTTTTGTGGCAGTGTGTGCAGCACAAAAACGCACAGCCATCCCATTCCAATCTGGCAGAACAAACGTCACACCTTGAGTGTTGCTTACTTGCTTGGTGCGTAGAAACTAAAGACACTACCCGTGCAATGACATCACCTCAAATCCAAACCTCAACACCATGCATGAGTGTTTTTACCTCTCAATCTGTCTAGTCTTACCAAGTGAGCTATGAATCCACTGGGACGGTAGCCTCACATATCCTTAACCAGAAACCAAGGCTCTCTATCAGTGGTCAGAACACACAACAGCTAAGTTTACGTTTTCGTCCTCAAGTTGTCAAGTTGTCAAGAAATATTTTTTCCTTTGTCAAGACTATAGAGGGGAAAACAAGAAAGAGAGAGACTGAGAGAGAAGGAGAGTCACAGAAAGTGAAATACACAGATGGAGAAAAAAAATTAAAAGATTAAATGAAAAGAATCCATCAAAAATCAACACTTACTTAATCTCAAGTTTTTCAATGTCCTCCTCTTCCACTTGGAAATGAGTCTTCTTAGAGTAGCTGCCAGACCTTGTGACCTAAGAGTGAATACGTCAAGGCTTATGAACAGGCTTACCTACACAAATAGTGTAGAAGTGTTTAAGCAAGCCAAAAGTAATTTACCTCAAAGGAGAAGGTCTCTTCAAAATGAGGGTTGCTGGTTTTCTTCTTTACCTTGGTTTTCTTTTGGTCAGACCTGAAGGGATACATCACAGAAACGCTTATATTTATATTAGGAGGGTAATTTCCCTGCAAATTAATCAGCAAAACCACCATTATCTTCATAAATTCCTTTTCTTATTCTTCACATCACAGACATTCATAAAACAGCTTCATTGAGGAACATCAGTCACATTCATTCTCATTTAATCGTGTGATCTAAACAACATTTTTATGGCTTCCGTCGGTTTTCTTAAGATTAGATCATTGCGAATATTTAACCTACTGAGTCAGCTTCCTTTAGCAAATGCAGTGTGAAATGGATCAAAGGCAATCACTGATATTAGCTGCCTCCGTTGGCTCGGTTTAATTCTTTAAGAACTGATTCTATATTTTATTGTTTAACCTGCAATAACAGTTTTTTGGTCACATGGGGGCCAAATAAAACCAAAGCAGCAAAAACACAGACATCGGCACTTTTAAAGCAGATTTTGTGAATTTGTTACTGATTTGGTTGTTGTGCTTGTGTTCAGCAGATGAATGTTTTTGGCTCAGTTTTTTTTAGGTCTTCACCAACTATTGAGCTAAATATGTGTCTTTTTAGCTGCTAAATGCTCCACTAAGCTCACCAGCTAATTGCTAACTGTGTCAGATGTTTGGTGGCACAGATAATGTAAAGTGGGTTATTTAGGGGAGGTTTCTTCCACTGAAAACAGCTGCCTGCTGGGGACGAAAACAACACTACGCGGGCGCAATGGCTGCAATGCGGGCCAGATGTCTAAAGACAATAAAACTCTGTAAAGCCAAACAGGCTGCAGATTCAGGTGCTAATTAGAGGTCATCACTATGATCAAGGTGTGATCCTCACACTGTCACACTTTTCTCATATCATCATTTGATAAATTGTTATTATAAAAATATAAATTTGCTGCTTAAAACACGCAAACAACACCGTCATATGTGTATGCTGTGAAACCTCCTGCTCTATATGCGGCATTCACAAAGTTACCTGGCAGGTCCAACGAGTGACACGGTGGCATAGGGGTCACAATTCTGCCCACTGATCAAAGGCAGCCCCTGGCACTCAATTATCCTGCAGGTCACAAAGAAATAGACATTTGATGATATTAAACCATGTGCAGTGCATGGACACAACATGTAACAAGACTTTAGTACTATGTTCATTTACATCATGGTCACCAGCTGAAGCAATGGTAAAATGAAATGTAGGAGGGGGGGGGGGGGGGTGTCCATTGCTCCGAATGCTACCTCAAAAGACCCTCTTGGAACCAAACTTTCTTTTGTCCATCCATTTTTACTTATAGATTTATAAAAAATTAAAACTTTAAACTCCACTAGAGCTGCAGGTAAATGTTGTACTTAATGTATAAAGTAACAAAATGACATTAACCGCACAAAATGCTAATAATTTATTTTCATTATATTTTTGTACAATGTGAGAATTGTTATTCCTTCATTACCTCCTAATGAAGAACAAATTCCTTTAGTGTATTTAGGAGTTTGATTTTGTTCCCGACCAACATCTGATACAGAAGGCGTATTACTATTGAGGTTGGTTGGAAGTCAAAAAATGTTTTTCCAGTTGATCAGTGACTTTGAGCCTTTATATCTGGCATCAAAGCCACCATTATTATTATTATTATTATAATATAGCACAATGCACGTTTTAAAGAAATGCGCGTTATGTAGTGCTTTGCCCTTGTGTCACAAAGACTGTTTCACGTGTCAACAAACACACATTGTAGGCACCCTAAACAGGATGTGGCTGCTAAGCCGGAGTCACCAGAGAATAAGGATGAATTCAGCCCGTCACTAAGTGAAGCCAGGGGGAGAAGCCGCCCGGAGCCAATGTCAGGATGTTTGTGTATCGTCTTCCAGGGCGTCATGACGACATTCCCAGTAGTCTCCTATGCGTCTCCCGACTCAACGGTGACACAGAGGCAGGATGACTGCAGCGTGCAAATTCTGAAGTTTGACGCCTTTGATTCTTATTTGTTACTTCCTCTGGTCCTGCTGATGTGGGTAAAAAAGGATATCGCTGTGTATGCACACACGATACAAGTGGCTGGTGAGCAGGTGGCAGTTTGAGCAAACAAGCGGCACGCTAAATGACGGCAGCAGAAAACCACAGCGGTCGCAGTGTGAGAAGCGCAGGCTTCCTGCTCAGATGCCATCACTTCCTGCTCATTACCCCGCTCACCAAGTATGAATGGGGGGGAGAGAGGAGGGGACGGTATGCAAAAACAACATACGTAAAGAGCACGAGGTCCGACGAGCACACAGATATGTGTGTACATGCTCAGCCTTATCCTTCCTCGCATGTCACTATCCGGTAACGGTGACGAACTTTGGATGCTTGACGTACGGATGGAAAATAAATGTGACAGATAAAGTAATGTTGTGATACACTCAACCTAAGCTAAGCCTTAGAAAGCGAAGATTGACATGGAATCTTTTGGCTGTATTATATTATCAGGCAAAGCACTGCTTGTGTACACCTGAGTGCAGCCTCGGCTTTCAGTGTGTTTCATGCACCGGATTCACATAACGTGAAGTACATCTAAATCTCATGTTAAGCCCTTTGGCTCTTTTTTTTTTTTATAAAAGGCCAGGAGGAGGAACCTAACTTGGACAACCAACGGGATTAGACCTCACTTGACTGAACCTTGGTACTCACCGGACTAGTAAGTGTTGACCCATTGAGCCGGTCACTGTGATCACTTCGTTCAATCGCATCTCCAAGTGAACCTTACCCTGTGGAACATGAGGAGAGGGATGGGTGAGGAGTTATAAACGTCTCAAAACCTGAGATCTCTCGCTTACACTAGGACAAAGTTGAACAAGTAGGAACAAAACATGGCTGTAGAATGAGAGTGAACTCTCTCCCGCTCTATTAAGTTAATGGTAGTATCTCGTGTGACAACAGCCACAGCAGCTGTGAATTTTGTCATCACTCATAAAAGATCTTTACGGTTTCGGATGTGGTGAAGGCTACCGGTCTTGCCTTCGGAAGTGTTTGACAGAGAGGAAGAGAGAGAGAGAGCGAGGGATAGAGAAAAAACACTAAACAAGACGCCCACACACTCGCTCTCAGTCTCTGCAAATCAGCACTTGGTTGAGATGCAGAGTAGTTCTTTCTGATGCACAATAGGCCTTAAAGGAAATATACAATTTCTACTTTACTACATGTATTTTACTACAGAAAATGCGCACTTGCAATACAACTACCTATCCTTTCTTAATAAATAGAAATAAGTGTGTACTGTTTATCCTGCCTTCGCAGTTCTCTTCATTAACCAAACCGGTTGGCTCGACACTGCTTACATGGTACACACAAACACACAAACCCTTTTGACTAAAACAAGCCAGAGAAGCATCGCAATAACACCTCCATCCTCGCTGATGTAACTCTTGCAGTTGAAAGTGTCTACTTGTGAGTGAATCAGTGTAGCAGCACACACCCAGAATAGTCTGGCGTGGGCTAATGGCAGCTAGAGTCAACACGTTAGCTACAGCAGCACAGAAGTGGTGGTTGCGCTGTAGTTTCACCCAGCACAACCGCACCACTAAAACTATCTGATCAAAGAACCGTACGGTTGAAAGACATGCATGTCCTACATGTGATAGGAACTAGAAACTGCATCCTGAGAGATAAAGTGCTGAAAGGCAAAAACAAAAACTCAAAAAAAATACTCAAAAAGTTAAGACTAAAAGATCATCATCGTTAGCGAGTGCTAAAGGAAGCTAAATACGCACCACAACAAACGAATCCTTTACAAAAACAAATGCTTTTGAACAAATAATTTGTTTCGCCACGATTGAGATACAGACATGTTGGCGTACTAGTTGCACAAACTAATGATGACCAGGATTAATGAAAAAGGAAAATTCTATGTAACCAGTTTCCATAACAGACCAGGTACATTTGCATGATGACAGCAGTCTGAGTTGGTGAAATTCTATCCAGAGGTTTACGACCACTACGTGAAAGTCCAGCTTTAGGTCATAGTTAAATCCACCCCTCTATTCACAGTAGCTGCATGCCGGGTTTTCACACTGATAAAACACAAATGCGGAATACCACCCTTTGACAAGGAAACAATCGATATGCAAACGTGAAAGAACATGGATGTGAATTTCCCGCTTGTTGTGTTGCAGCAAATTGTGAATGTACGGAATCTCCCGAGGCAGTTCTGCAGTCTCATTATCAGCAACTACCACGCATGTGTAATTCACAGTCAAACCCAACGTGTTTTACATTCAAATGTGGAATGAATAGAGTTCCAATTGTCTCAGCCATGTTACCTGGACTTCCGAGTTAGGGTCCACCGGATGAAGGCTGAACCAGTGCTCCTTCCCACTGTATTTACACAGGTCGTCCTTTCTGATTGACACCTTGCCTGGAAGAAAATCACAGGTAAATACATAACACATTAAAGCGTAACTCGTCCACTGACATGAGAAAATAAATCATGTGTGTGTGCCTCACTTAATGCAACTTACCCACAGGTAGGTCCCTTTGGAACACGCTTTTGGCATAAACATAGAAGGATAAACACTGAAATGGGCGAGGGATCTCAAAGTAGAAGTCCTCTCCATAGAACGGGCTGTAAACAAAATGCAGAGACCAGATTAGGGTCAGTGGCCCGGTTTGTTACACAAACTTTGTGGGCTCAATTAATGATTGTTAAGATTCACGCTTCGCTTGGAACAGTATGTTCCACAAGTGTTATCTTATCTAAAAACAGGACAATTTTGTGTGGTTAAAACAAATTTCACCACGCAGGAAATAAAATCTCCATGTTCATTCTGTGAATTATTGAGGCGGAATGATGAAATGCCATCTGCTTCACCTGCTATGAATACAAATCGAATTTGGTTCAAGAATTGGGATCAAATGTCTTTATGCCTCCACACTAACAGGATGACTTCATGTGCAAATCTTTGTAATTTCCTCAGCTACATCGCTGCAGAACGTTATTCTGAACTATGAAATCGTGCAATGGATAAATCAAACTGAAATGTACTGCTGCAAGGTGACAACAATCATGTAGTTTGTATGAAACACGGTTGTGTTTATGGCTCCAGGTAATACAGGAAAACACAAACGATCATTGAATCACCTTGGTGGTGTGCTAAAGCCAAAATGTAGTACCAATAACATATTTGTTAGGGGTGTAACGATTCATTCACTGAATCGATTAATATTCCTGCGATCCAGCTAAATCGATCTGTGCTCCGCAAATCGTCATACCGGACGACATATATCGATTACAAATCGATTGAAAAATGGTACATAATCGATTGTATCGATACTTGGAAACAATACATTAGATTTAAGTACAAAAACGGTATGGGTGTGTGTTTGTTTGTTTGTTTTGTAGCACTTTAGACACGTTAAACGTTACTCGATTCAGTCTGCCTGTCTGTGACGTCATCAGTACGCAGCGGCAGCCGCGCGAAACTCGGAACGACAACAAAACACAGCGTGGAGGAGACGACTGCGAGCAAGACATTTACAAAGAAACGTATCGATCCAGCGTGTGGAAACAGTTTGGCTTTTGCAAACACGGAGGTGTCTAAATAAGTCGGTCGCTGTTTGTAGAATATATGGAAGACAAATAAAAAAAACACGGAAACACGACGAATCTTTCCAGCCATCTATTAAGGCGCCGTGGGATTAAACAACGCCGACAGTCAGGACCTCTAGCAGCGTTACCGCTGCAGCAGCCGAAGGTAACTCCAGGTCTGCAGACACCTCAGGCCTCGCCAGCACCAAACTCAACATCACAGTACCAATTACCAAGTTTATCTGTAAAAACATGCGACCCTACAATGTGGTTGAAAATCCGGGGTTCTGTAAATTGATCCAAACATTGTGTAATTATTGTGTAATGTTTACATTGAAAATGGCACTTGATTCAAATAAAAGGTTAATACATTTGCCATTAATTGTTGTTTGCTTGTTTATAATATCCATAATTAATCTAAACCTGATTTCCTTACAAGAAACAACAGGGATCTCGGAAACTTTGCCTGCACTGTCCAGTAAAGTTACTGAATCGATTTCAAGTCACTGAATCTAATCGTTCTAAATTAACCCAGATCGTCCATGAATCGCGATTCAAATCGAATCGTTGTTAAAATGAATCGTTACACCCCTAATATTTGTGTTAGACTATCAGATCCACAGATTTGTTGACTCCAGTGAGCAGAAAGTGGACCGCGCACGGCGCCCCTATGACTCATCGGGGTGGTGGGAAATGTGCCGTTCACGCTCTCCTGAAACCCTTATTTCCTCATTTGAAGTCCAATAGTGTAAAAACCATGTAAAGATAATTAGGAAAAACTTGTTTTATATCCTCAAGTGAAAGCTGGGGAGTAAAAACTGTAAGGCAATGATATATATATATATATATATATATATATATATATATATATATATATATATATATATATATAAATCATTATTTTATATATTTATTATTGTTCTGACAAAGTGATCATGAACATCTATCCACTACAGCTGCTGATACCATGAACTATCTTATATGGCCAGTTTTAAATATCTATAATAATTAATACTATATTAAAAATCTAGTTGATTATTTGAGGAGCAATTCAGCACATATTTGACTTTGACATTACCAGATTTATATATTAAAAATCAAGTTGATTATTTGAGGAGCAATTCAGCACATATTTGACTTTGACATTACCAGATTTATATCATATGGATATATATTTTTTTATAATGAACGAGTTTGTCCAGCAATAAAATCCCACCCTACAGCAGCCGGAGGTCAGGCTGGATGTTTCAAGGGCAAAACCTGGATGGACGTGGCGCCAGCAGATGAACCACCCGCCCCAAACAGACCGAACGGTGTCCCGGGACAACCTCGCGTAGGATCTACAAAGAGTCACCTTAGGGCAGTTCAAACGACGATTCGGATTGGGGAGGGAATTTAATGTGGCTTTGTAGACTCAGACATGCGTCTGCCTGTCAGAATGAGTCAAGTTCAAGGGTCATTAGCCTTAATGAATAATGTGAGTGTGAACCCGTAACTCTCCACTACCTGGTCCGATGCGTCCTTCCACAATTTATACCTTTTGGGTGTGGAAATATCTTGCCTGCGACTTCCGCACTGCGTTTGGTCAACACATCCAGCGTACACCCACACATCCTCCTCGACACTACATGAAATTATGCAATTGTAACCTCCCTATTCTGCGCACACTCAAGCACACTCCCACAGTACTAGCCTCCTTTCCGTTGTCACCCTAGTCTCTAAATAATGTGATAATGCCAGGTAAGTCCGAGGCATTAGCTGATCGTAGAGCTTCCATTAAGCCGTTAAACCATCACAAATAGGAGCCCATGCAACAGGCATGAGTCAAACAAACAAAAAAGTGATTCAGTGATTACTAAGATGTGCTATACAGAGGCTGAGGTCGTTCACAGTGACACAGGGAGAAAGACTGGGGCGAGCGTGGGAGGACACACTTCCTCAGAGACTGTAAAATCCTTTTGAACGGCACCGAAATCTAGAGAGGAATAATCAGCTTGTGAAATACCTGTAAAAAAGGCAGGTCCATGTTTACAGTGAGATATGCCATGATGTAGATTAGACTCCCCTGAAGGTTTCCTTGTGTCTCCCACACCTTTCTCGGACCGCTTGTGAATGGAGCCATTTGCAAAAATGCTCATTTCAGTATGAATCACTTCCTAGATGAAATGCTGCCCTGCACACATGCAGCCCGAGTCGCATATTGACATTTGTAAGACCTTAACAAACGACTGAATTTTAAACTGGGAATTTCTCACAATTGGCCTGCGACAAACAAAGTGATCCTGAGCTTAGTAGAAGGGTTGAAATGAGAGCAAGTCATTACCATTTTCTTTAGCTTTTCTTGAACTTCAATGCTTAAGAACAAACTGAACTCCTCAAAGAACAACAGCCGACTGTGACACAATCAGTATTTCTGAGCGTAGTTCTTAAAATATATATTAAATAAAAATGTTAACTTAATGTACGTAGTATCTATCAACAAAACCTTTTTCATCAATGAATCAGTAAATTAAACACATCAAAATTGTCAAAAATAACAAATGACCTCCAAAAGAGCAAACAGTGGAGAACTAAGGGTGATGGAATCTGTGGCATATAATAATTATTAAACCATAGCAACCACCTATTAATGTAAATCTGTGAAGGTTTTGCATTTTCACTACATATCCAAAAGCTTACAAAACGTTCACTGCTGGTTTAGAAATGAACAAAATAGGGGGAAATGGAACAGTTGAAGACATTTACCTGAAACTTTGCCCGCATAAAAACAGAAGGATGTTTGGGTTTCATGTTTAGCAAACAGAACTTTCTATAGACCAGGTGTGCCATGAGTGACTTGACAGAATACAATTCAGCCTCCTCTTGAGTCACTTCAGGCATCACACTCTCCAGGATATACTTTGATACTGATAATGGTCAACTACATATTTATTAAGCTGATGTACCTGTGAATGTACGCTTTGCATATTTCACTGTCAAACACCATTTTCTAAGAGCTCTGCGCTTATGAGCGATTGAATATTTTATTACACTTTTTTTCTCTCCAATAGCTAAATAAAAAAATAGTGTCGAGTTGACCAAAATACTACCATTGATCCAGGAAATAGGAAAAGCGTTCTTAAAGCTCTCTAAAACATATTTATCAATACATCAAAAATGTTAAGCCTAGAGGACAGAATGAAACTTTTTTGACTGTGTGGACATCCACCAACGTGAAAAAGGACATTTGCACATCCCTTCTTCGTTATGCAAGTCCAGCGGCATCTCGTGTAACTTTAGGCGTGCAGGGTGTAACTTTTCATGAAATGAAGTAAAAGGTTTTCCAACTGGAAATAAGACGGTAAGAAGATACAGGTGTTAACCTTGCTTACCTGACACTTTTGTCAAACACCTTGGTGCGGAAAACCTCCTCCTGATCCAGACTTATGGTGCAAAGTGTGCAGAGATCCCTTTGTCGATTTGGACCCGAGACTGGACCGAGGTTCTTTGCTTCACCTGCAGCGTCAAGAGAAGAACCACGTTACCGCCATCGACAGGCTTCAAGACATCAGCGGCCTTTCCAGAGTTAACGGAGATGATACAGTTAGAAACTCATTAGCACATTAACACAGATATAGCTTTAAGAAGCTCTGAGAGAATAAGGGGCAGAGACAAAAACAAAAAAATAGAACAGTTTATTTCTGTGGCCCCAAAGTAAATAAATGTACTTATGATTAGGGGTCAAATGTGCAAATCCAGGGGAGAGTAGTAATGCACTTATGTTGTGTCTTTTGTAAGGGTGTGTAAAAATATGACACAAAAACAAATCGTAATCTTACAAGTGTGTTGCACCGGGAAGTGAACCAGATTACATAAACTGTCAACAGCTACGTACCCTAAAGAGGTTCTGATAACGCGTGCTTCAGAGTTTCAGATCTTGAAAAAAAAAAAAAAAGTCTTACTCCGATAACTCATTGCAACACACAATTTGGCAGTGCTCGATTTCAGATAAACAACTTATCGGTGTTAAAATAAATAGAGGATTTGCAATCCTAATGAACGGCAACATGTGTGATTGCAAACCGTACACTTTGCATTCATAGAACATGCTTTTGGCTCTTGCCGGTTGTTGGGGCGAGCTGCAGAGCGGATGTAGCCTTGAGGCTCATATGTGGTTAAAAACATGAAACATTGACTTCCTCAGCATAACTAATGACGGTAGTATGGCGCTGATTTACAAATAACAAGCACCTTTGTATGAAAAGCAGAATGCACACACACACATACACACACACACACATGACAGGGCAGGAAGACCCAGATTAGCCTACATAAAAAAAGATGAACAAAACCAAAGCCAGTTAGGTTCAACTACAATCCTCTGAGCAGGTAGATGGCCCGTCACTCAAACACAGCACACAATGAATCAGACACTAAAAGATTAGAGGGACAGAATTCTAAATTGGACCTCTAGCTTTGGATATGTACCCTAAGCCCGGGCTTCGCCCTAATTAACAAAAGCCACCAGTGAGATCAGCTTTTTAACGAGCCGCTAATAACGGTGAATGGCTAATCTTAGGAGCGGCCAGAGGCGACCGCCACGTTGTTGCTAAGCTTGGACTGGGATGACCTGGTGGGAGTCGAGCACACAAGCAGATAGAGAACGCATCCAGACGCCGCTGCCGTCTCGTCGGTAACATTTTATTAAAAAACAGGAGTTAGTCACCATGAGGGAGCCACGACCCAAAGGTCAGCGAGTGGGCCTAAACAATACCAGACTGCTGAGTCAGGCCCTTTCATGCGTTTTATTGTGACACTAAAGAAAACCGGGGCATATTCCAAAGTACACAACCCACCCACCCACCCACCCAAAAAACACTATAGGAATAGATATTTACACAATGCCCACTCGATTGATGTAAAGTCCTGTGGAAAAGGGCAAAGTGTGAACGAGGAAGAATGGAGTTTCGTAAGACTGCAAAGTGAGTTACGTGCCACGATGGTTCCTCTATTTGGTTCTGCTTAACGTTTTTTCATTAATTCATAGTAGTGAAACCTACATTTGTCTTCCTCTGCACACAAGCTGACATACTAGCGGCCAATAAGCCTGTGTGTTGGAAAACTTAGTCAAGCCGGATTTATAACTAGGGGATGTCCTACACCTACTTTAGAAATATTAAACATGCCTTTTCAAAACATGTTTAAAATATAATATAAATGATTATTAATTAAGAAAAACCTTTGTGGTTTTGTGCCAACTTATATCAAATTTATTGCTTCTGAAAATGGACTCATATTACTTTCCCCATTGAGATGGAGCAATGCCACTGGTGGAAAATGACATCCTCACCTCGACCAATGCCCTCAAACACAGATCGAATGGTGAAGGATCTGAATTATTACTACGAGTTAATTTGGCAAATAAAAAGCACATTTACACATTGAAAAAGGCTCAGGTACTTCCACCGGACCAGCCGAGCCCACCAGGGGACGAAGGACGAGGACACAGGCTGGACACACGCACGCCTAGCGGGTCACTGAACCAAGTCAGACCCGCTGTGTGGAGGCAGCAACTTGGACTCAATTCGTCCAGTTTGGGCTGCGTCGACACGGCGGTCAAAAAACAGCAACAACAACAAAAACGGTCGTGTTGTGGCTGAGGTGAATGTTATGGTGGTCTCACGTTGAGCTGGCCGGCTGTCAGATGCCTGCAGTGATTGACGCTGTAAGGACCGCGGGGTCCAGGACTAAAGCGGCAGGCAGGGGCTAGCCTACTTTTTTACCGCTAGCGTTGAGTTAGCTTCACGGGGCAGTTCGAGTCCACGCAAGACGTTTAAAACGTTAAAACGTTAAAATCATCCAAGTGACTCTTTAAAAAAAAGACACAATACGCGGACGGTTCGCGGAGCCCCGCGGGGTGGGAGGGCGATGAATGAAACTATTCACAACAAAGCTACCAGACCCCCTCCCTCTGCTAGCGTGCTAGGCTAACTTGAAGGGAAGCACCAGACAGCCAGCAGAGCGACCAGATGAACCGGCTGCCTCTGCTTTCCCCACGGCCGACTGTTGACTGCCCCCTCCTGCTTCCCCCCGCCGCCCGGTCAACCGACCTCGCTGCCCTGCCAGAGACGAGGGGCGAGGTGGGGAACGAAAAAAAAAAAAAAAAAAAAAAGGACCTCTGCTCGGCCCGGTTACACTTACATATTTTGCCCCGCAGACTCTGTAAAATCCGAACCGTCGCGTCGTCCTCTTCCGCCATGGTCAGAGCTGACTGTTATCGCTGCTCCGGCGCATTCAGCGCAGGTTTATCACATCCGTTTATGAGCGCAGGCGGAGAGGAGGAGAGCCAGCCCCGCTGCCGCGTCACGGCGGCTCCCGCACACACTGCTGCCTCTCGACGTTTCTCTTTTCTTTTCTTTTTTTAAAATTTCTCCGGAGAAATTGAGCTTCCTCAAAAGACGAGCGCCTCGCTTTTGACTAAGTCACTTCAATCTGGAGATGGTAGGAGTTGGTTGTTGAAGTTTATTTGTACGCGTCTTCTCGTCACGCGACGACATCGCTCTCGGAGAAGAGATACTTTGACCGTTGGAGCTAGTTAGCATTAGCTAGCTAATCGCACTTCACTACCTGAAAGTGGCGTGAGTGTGGAAAGCGCGTGTCAGGCGGACATGTGTCACTCTCGGTTTAGACACATTCTTGAGGTCTCACAGTTTTAGGACTAGTGACATTTTTAACAATACTGCAAAAAAAGGAACTTCTAAAAGAAACAGAGTGGCAGAAATTTCGAAGATGTAAAAACAAAAACAATATATGGAAATAGAGAGTGACCCTTTTATTAACACGGATGCAAACACACACACATTCACACATCACAGCTAACGAGAGTTATGTCTCACACAAATAGTTAAGAGACTATTTAATATAAACGGTAACTGGTATTATACTAATAATATAGGTATTAGTTTCAATTTGAGATCTCGTTGTATACATGTTAAGCACATGCAGTACTATATTTCTCCCAGGGCCATTTCCATCCAATGCGTTATTAAATCATGTTTAAGGTTGTGTTTTACCTTGAGCTTTAACCAAGAAAAAAATGACATTGGAAAATAGCTAATGTCCTACTCACAATGTAAATTCCTCATTAGGATGATTTGCAAACATTTCCCAAACATAGTATTACGATTTTTGATTTATAAAGATGATTTGTTCATCTTAATCTGTAATCAAAATAATTTTCCAATATGTTCCTTAAATGAAAATGTGACATACACCCTGTGTTCTCTTGCTCTTTTTTTAGGTTGCTTTTGTAATGGAGAAAACACAGATTTGACTTTCATTGCTGATCGCAGCCGGGAGCCTGAAATGGCAGTCAGGTATGCATAGTAACCTTGATGATAAACAAATGATATCCTGCTAATACATAGCTCACAATAATTCACAACACATATCATTAACTTTTGCAGATCAGGGGTTCTATTTAAAATATACATTTAGTTATCAAATCTATCTGAAATTTCTTTCTGAAGTGTTTTACAATACCATCAAATTCAATGAACATATGAATTCTATGTTGGATTTGTATCTTATATTTTATTACATTGTACAATATAGTGAGTATGTGCACTTTTCAGTTGTACATTGAAGTTATTGCAACAACATGCTTCTCACTAAACTTCTACAATATGAATATTTGGCATTACAGTAACTAATCTTTCTTTGTCTCTTGGCGTAAGTCTCATTGATAAAGGTTATGAAAGGCAAAGTAAGTAAAAATGCTGCTCATACAAAATCTTCGATAGCATCAGTAATAATACTCCAATGGCCTTTATTAAAATAATGGAAAAAGTTTCCTTCTTGGCATAAACAGTGTGTTGAGCACCACCATGTACCTCAAAAGTATGATCCATTTGTTACATCACCAGCTCAGTCTTAGAAAGAAGTTAAAAATTCAAAAACATCTGGAAATTGTGTTTGAGGCCCAACTCCAAATACAGATGCAGTCTGTGTTGAAGAATGAGGGAATGAACTTCTCAGATGGGCTGTAGGTCCCTGAAGCCCCGGGAGTAGCAGATAACCACCATGTGGCTTTATATTTAGGAAATAGTTTTGCTGTGAACGGGGTTTGGTACAGAACCACATGGTACATGAAGGTTCAAACTGAAACATTTAAAATGTTGAAATCTTTTTTTTTTCTTACTGTAAGGCAAGTAGTAAGATTGCTAGTCAGTCAATGGTCACTCAATACTGTGAATGGATACTCAAGCATTAACCAATGACAGGCTAAAGGAGGACAGGATGTATCTGTTTAGAATATCAACAACATTTATTTCATTATTTTTACTCAACATTTTATACATATCCAACAAAAAACTAACTTTAATCTCAATGGTTCCATTTGTCAACTTAGAAATTATAATTATTTCAATGGTGCATGGAATTGAATTATCAAAGTATTGAAACAACAGAACAGCATAGTTTATTATTAAAGTGCAACTCACCATAACCAAGACGTGAGTATTAGAAATGTGACTGTTGTGAAGTTCCTAATGTGTTCCCCAGACACGTTTTAAAAAGTGAAGATGTAACCACACTAGGAAGCTTTTCGGTTCTCCAACACTCCCTAACCCTCCGGGTTACAATTGCTTACAGTTAATTCACTGAGTCTGACATATATGCATAGAGTCCGTATCAGAAGGTCCTATATTCTCCCAAATATATCTTCTACAAAGGTGCAAAATTATTTATTCATTGAGTTCAGGAGGGAAGAAATGACAGCATGCGAGTTCTGTTGGTTCTTCCCGTTTGCTGCTGTGGATTCCGAACAATTTATTTATTGAGCTTAGCTGCAGAGGCTTTATTCACTTTAGCTGCTGCCGACCGTCGTCCATAGTCCTCAAAGATCTTTAAAAAATGGCTCTTCTTTGCAGATCCACTTCTCTGGCTTGTGTATAGAAACACGGGTGTCTTTAGTTTCAGAGTCATTTCTCCCAGAGAGTTTACAGGACTTCTCCGGATCATTGTCGCTGGATGTTTTTGGCCCCGTCAAGATGTCCTGGTTGCTGTCGCAAGCCGGCTTTTGGGAGATGACATGCGTCGAATGCTGCGCAATGATCCCTTTTTTTGCCATTTTATGTTTCATCTTTGGGGTTGTCGGGGAAAGTAACGGGTCAATGGCCGGCGATAATGGACTTTTAATGTTGGAATCAGACATGTCTTGGTAGGTGGTCAAAGACATCAAGTCATTTGTGTCCTCAATTTTAGGCTTAATTTGATCACTGTAACAATGTCCTTCTTCCACCCTTTCAGTTTTTACAACAACGGCTCCCTGATTTTCGCCGTCTTCTGTTTTGACGTCCCCTTGTTTGCCGTCTTCTCTCAAGTGTGCGGAATGGTCTGAACACGGTGAGAAGTTGTCGGAATGATATCCCTCCTCATTTGCCTCCTGGTGTTTTTTCTCATGACTCCTCTTGGTGGCGAGGTAGAGAAAGCGCTGGGGACAGAAGGAGCAGCGATACTTCTTCTCGGGGTTGGGGCTCCGGGCTGTGTTATCAAAGCAGGAGCCATTTTCCATACAGCGGTTGCAGATGTAATCGCCACCGGCAGGTGCCTCGCCGGGGGGGCCTTGTTTACCACAGGTCCGGCAGAAACATGGGTGGGAACCAATGACGTGAGCTTTCAGACCCGTCTCTGTGATGAAAGAGCTGTCACAGATGTCACAGTTGTAGGTGGTCCTCGGGCTGGAGTTCCTGCTCAGGCTACGCTTTACCTCTCCACTACAACCTGACACGGCCTCTTCCGTCGGCCAAGTGCTTCTATCGAGGGGGGTCTCATCGGGCGCCGTTCTGTCTCCAGATGTTTCAGGGTAACCATGAAACAAGGCCTTTCTGTGCTTGAATCTCAACGTCTTTTTTTTCTTTTTAGCTTTGTAAGAGTAGTAGGGACGCCAAAGCATGTCGGCTCTGTCACAGTCATTGGGATCCTCCAATGTCTCCGCCGCTGTGGCAGCGACTTCCTGTCTCAGGCGGCGCCGGGGGCTCTCCGGGTTCTCCCGCGTCGGCGGGCCCTGACCCGGGCTCTCCTCCTCACTCAGTTCTCTGATTCTCCTTTTCTTTCTGGGGAAGAGCTTAGATCCTTTGATTCGGCGGCGGACGATGGCTTCATTGCCTATTTTCACTGTTATCTGACACAGGGGCATGGCGGCACCATCCACCGATGGACCCGGGCAGGCGGGTTTGGCGATGTATGTTTCTGTCTTTGCCCCCATCGTTCGATCGTGTACCTGATTCTCGGTGCTCGACTGAAGGATCTCCTTGGTCATGTCCTCAACTCTTTTCGCGGAAGCCGACAACTCACTTAACTTTCTAACAGTGCTCAAGGAGTTTAGGAAGGGCACGCTATGGCCGACGTGCTTTGAGTGCTTTAGTACTGGAGGAACATCTCTGTAACCCTCAGCGGGAGACCCGGGCTGCAAAGACGAGGTGAAGGGGGAATCTCCATCCTCGTCCTCTTCTCTCGCGCCTCTCTGATTTTCCAAGTGCTTGGGCGGACCTCGGTCAACGTCTTGGTCACACGTCTTGCCGAAGCTGATGCGAGGGATGACAGAGGCCACCATCTTCGTCGTTGTCATGAAAGTCAGGGGAAACGAAACGGCGTCAGCGTTGCCGCTCGGGACGTTTTTTTCAAATGGAGGGACAAGAGAGTCCGGTGGAGCGTCGTCGTCGTTGTCAACACACTCCGAAAATGTCTGGCTGTACGTCTTGTATTGTCTCTTTCTGAACTTCATAGGCAGAAGCCTGTAGAGTTTGATCGGATAAACACTGGCTTTCAGACCCCCGTTGGCAGATTTTTTCTTAACGGCGTGACTGGGATCAATGCCGTGAAAAGACTTTTGATGGTTCTTTAAGATATAATATGTCATGAATGTCTCCAGGCAGAAAATGCACTGATAGCGGCGTTCCCCCGTGTGCCAGATTTCGTGCTTCGTACGGTACTCTGCCAACGCAAACACTTTATTGCAATAATGACAGGGATATGCCCTCTGCCAGGAATGGACGTTCTCGTGCCGCTTCAGACTGGACAGGGTGACGTAGACCCGTCTACACACACTGCAGTTGTATCTCCTCTGTCCGCCGCCGAGCCTCGCCGCCCGCTCAACGCGCGAAGGCTTCGGTTGGTCCACTTGAAGTGGCTCCGGGGGGTGTGGTGTGCAGGGGTCATCCGAAGGAAGCTGTGTCGCAAGGCTCCCCGCGTTCGGCAGGCCGTGCGAAGGGAGCTCCGCCCCTTTGGTGGGCATGTCGGTGGCATCCAGTTTCGGCGGGCCCCTCGCGGGTTTGGGACAGACCAGCTCGTGGTTGCGCAGGCGTTTGAGGTGTATAAACTTTCTGTGACAAAACTTGCAAAACAAATGGCTGACAAAACGCTTCTTGTGTACCTCCGCGTGAATGGTGAGGAGAGCCCTGTTTGTGAATATCTCTTCACAGTGGTCACAACCATAAATTGAAATGCAGTCCTCTGTTTGCGGGGAGAGGGCCGGTGGTCCTAAGTCCATTTGAACATTCCCAGTGGCTGCAGGTATGCCGGGGTCTACTCTCTTTTCCGTTTCTGCCTCGGAAATAAGCGACGGTGGCGTCATGACTAAAACAGGTGCTGCGGAAACACCGTAAGCTAATGACGGGGTTATTGTAGTCAGGTTATCTTTTTGTGGTTCGGCTGGCGCCGGAAGTATGCTGCGACACAAAGTTCCTCTCAGCCTGTGGCGCTTTTTAAGCGGACCGGCGTTCCTGTAAATGAGTTGCTTTGACTGCGGCATCGCTGGCTCGCAGACCTTCTTGTTCTCCCACTGACCCCCGTCCTTGCCCTCGGTTGATGTGCTCACCGCATACGAGTGCTCTGAGAGGGCTTGCGTCGTCTCGTTGTTGTTGCCGAGGCAGGCGACCGTTGGGCTATTTGATGGGAGCTGTCCCTCATCTGATGATCGCCTCTCCCTGTTGCTCTGAATCAGGGGGGGGAAAAGATTGTTCCCCGGACACACTTCAGTGATGGAGAAGGCGTTGGTGATGCGTGGCCCTTTGTCAATGTCCTCAGGCCTGGGAGCCTCCCGCTTTGCTTTTTTTTCGGCTTTGGTGGAGTCTGTGGATTGAACACATTCATCCCGCCTCTGCTCTTCTGCTAGGTTCTCTAAGAAAGGAATTCCGAGTCTTTTTCCAGCTGCCACCAGGCCCCGGGTGTCCTGCGGACACAGTGATGTCACCTTTGAGCAGTATATAAAGTTGAGGATGCTGGCGAACACGTCGGACTTCAGGTCCATCAGCTCCAGCACTTGGCCGGAGGTCCAAGTCTCAGGAGACGTCAGAGCGCTCCTGAAGTACCCGCTGCAGGCCGCCAGAATGTTCTTGTGGGCCCGAAACTTCACGTCCTCCACCACAATGGTGACATCACAGAAGAGGCCTTGTGAGCGCTGCTCGTTGAGCCGGCTCAGCACGGTGTGAGAGTGAGAACTATCCATGAGGGACCCCGCAGTCATCTACAAACAGAGGAGAGAGAAGTGCATCATTTCACCAAAATGTGTTTGTAAAATGGTGAATCCGACTGGAAGTGTGTACATTTTGTTTTTGAAATATTTCAGCTGTTCTTTTCCTTTAGCACTAGATGGCAGTGATATCCTGACGGATGAGCTCCTGTGCCAACAGCCGAGTCAACAGTTCTAACTTCCTGATCTTCATCCTGCCTCTTTAAGAATGAATTTCATCAGCAGAAGATAATATATTGTTCATTGCCGGCGCTTTTATCTAACTGTTCTTCTTTATCCTGTGTGTAAGATATATTTATCATAGGAAAGATCTCACTGTTGTAATACTCATACAAAATACACTTTTGACATTTCAGTTACTGAGATCTTTGAACTATTTGTCAGTGCTAACATTTGCCAGAGGAATAGAAATACAATAATGACTTTTTATGTCAAATAACACGGCCTTAGAAGAATGTTATCGGCAATTGTTCTGTGGAGATTCTGATTGAAAAAGTCTTGGATATAGACGTCTTTACTTTTTGTCTGCCCAATAGTTTTCCTCCTTTTCCATCATAGATGGAACATTGGAGTTGCACATTTAACAAAGTCGTGAGAATAGTAGAGAAGAATCTTTCTAAAAGAAAAATAACGACCTGAAATGCAATGGAAGTCATGGCCTGTGCCTGGTAAATTCTGCTGTGAGTCACTCCGTTGTGATTATTACTTATAATGATTGAATCATGTTTGCTACCACAACTCCTCACTAGGGCTGGTTCCGTTGTCATGACAGTCCTATTATTCTTGTGGCCTACGTTAATGTGATCATGACAGCGCACTGATGACTCATATGCCACATTTCCAGTTGTCTGACATTTTTGGTCAACTCTAAAAACTACAGGCAATAATTATTAAATGTCTCGCGAGGAAAAATACGGTCATTGCTATGATATAATGTAGCACAGAAGCAAAATAATCACCACCAGGACGTCAAGTATAAACCGTAACATTCTTCGACCCATTCAAAGAAACCGTCATGTTAGTCGTATTGTACTGGGCCTAAAGACTTTATATCCTAATGACGCATATTTGAATCCTCCAGTTGTTACACAGCTGTTTTGAATCAGGCAGGGAATTATAGTTTGTGCCAATTCACAAAGCAGCATTTGTGGATTAGTCTTGATTTCATCAACTAAATGAAGTGCAAGACTCGGAGGAAGTTAAAGTTCATTCATTCTCACTTAGGAAAGAGGAAGTGTCTCCCAGCATTGTGTTTGAAGTGTGGCCTAAAGTCGTGTTTCACGGTTGCATGCTGACTGATTCTGCTAAAACGCATTCAGCCTGTAGGCCTTTGTGAGGGATGAATCATCACATCTGAGTCAGTATTTTTGAAATATCTATCTTTAGTCAGTACTTCACGTTATTATTATTTTTTCACGTCATACAACGGTTGTGCCATTTAGGATGAGGCCCTGACTTTCTTTTTTCTGCCGATGCTTTTGTGAACTGCTGCTCTCGGTTCTTACGGAGTAGAAAACAGGAAGAAGGGTTTAATTTGATGTAATTCAGTTTTAGTATGTGCAGATTATACTGTTTATGTATTATAGAGTTGTATTTAATTGATGAGAAGTTTCATTTGATTTCTTATTTTATTTAGTGATTTATTAATTTTGAAATGAACTAATAGGTTGACATTGTATTATTCTATTTCCAGTATTTTTGGAGTTCAGCTAATTTATCAGTGATCTCATATTTTGTTAGGTTTTCCGTCCATTTCCAGTTTTGTGTTCGGGCAACAAATCCAATATGGCCGCCACTCTTCACCCAGTGTTCTCGTGCATCTGAAAACACAGCCAGCCCTCTGCCTTCCTTCTCAGACAGGCCTCCGTTGTCATAGCAACATGCTATGGCGCAGCACATATTGGGATTCAGCGGGATGGCGAGTTACTGTATGAGCTGTCTGGGCATTCGGTCCCTTCTCTCCCACAAACATCCTGCCCTCTCTGACAACCGGCAGCACGCAGCAGCCTACAGAGCAAGCGAGGTTTGCCTTTGTCTCCCCTCGACTGTACTTTGTGTACGTTTTATTAGTCGGTGTCTTTGTCTGCAGCAGAAATGCTACCCGAAGGACTTTCTCATCTGGTGTCAAAAAAAGGGGGATGTGCTACGGCTTTTTTTTCAAATTGATCGTTTTGTGACATTCGCAGATACGGTTTAATATTTTCTTCTAGGTATTTATTTAACTTTACCACTTTTCTTTGCCACAGTTTGTACCAATTGCCGTGGTGTATTGCCGTCACATGCTGAGCGGAAATTTTAAAATTATCATCAGTTTGGTTATGATCTTGCAACACCCAACCTTGCTTTACCTTTTGAACGCGCATGTGATATTACTCTTATAACGTTTTAACCTGACAAATAAAAAAATCCCCACATGCTTAAACCACAAACCATGAAATGACAGTATAGCGCACAGTCTTGTCAAACGGAGAGCGAAATGTCAAAGCAAAAACCCCTACACGTATTTCTGCAAAGCATACTTCCGCAAAATAAACAGGTAACGAATAGAGGGAAACCATGCAAACATACCTTAGTAAATCAGAGAGAATGATGCGGGGCAAACCGGAAACGGTGTCATGCAGTATCTCTCTTTCTACAATCCTCTATACCAAACTATACATTTAAAAACTGTTAAGTGAGAGCGAGATGAAAGTAGGTTTTCTTTTTTTTTTTTTTTCAACGATGGTCGCTGAACAGTGGTGTTGTCAGAAGCAGAGCTTTCTCTGACGTCTTTCTTCCTCTCCCTCCCTCTCTGTGTGCAGATGACTCTTGCTCAAACGTCCTTCGCCTCTATCCATGCAGCCCTGGTCCTGGGCTGGATCTGTCCTGCCCTCCCCTGGATGTGCCTCCACAGCGCTGTAGGAATAACACAGTTCATCCAGCGTGTAGCTAAGCCGGAGTACGAGTCTGCCTTTGTGCTAGCTGGGCGACCGAAGCGCTCGCTCTGGAGCCACTGAGCAGGAAGCAGCAACTTTTATTAAGCGTAGCGCAGAGGGCTGTAGGGAGAGCGGAAAGATGCTGGGTGCTACATCACACTCCAGCTCTGCGCTCCAGCCAGAGAAAACACTGCGCTGCCTTGCTGGTAGCAGCGTATAGTGTGTGGATCTCTGCTGTACATCAAAACAACATTAAATCCCCCATGCACTGCACCTGCAAGATCCCGATGCATCGCAGGTTGACCGAAAGGAAAAATCTCGCACAAAATAATGCTATCTATAGCCCTCGTGAAAAAACGACATGCACTTTGATCGCTTCACCATCTGTTTCATGAATGTGCACACGTCTGTGCACATTCAAAGATGTGAAAAGCCTTTTTGTCTGTGCTTATGCAGTCACTGTGGTTAGGTAACGCAAAACCCGTGAAAACACGACACTGACTACTGTCTTACAATGCATCACAGCTGTCACAGGACAGATGTTCCCAGATGCTTTTTTTCCCCCCTCACAGTCGTAGTCGAGTTGCGAGGTAATGTAATGCAATGTAATGCGAGGTTGATGGGGAAACGGGAGTCCCGGTATCGGCTGGGGCTCTCGGTCTACCTATACAGAGGCTGCTGATTGATGCAAAAGCAGCAGATGCGTCAGCACTGCAGACGAGGGGGAGGGGAGGAAGCTGAACCCGACGTGGCACTGAGCCTCTCGCTAGCCTGCGAGGACGGAAGCAGCCTCTTTAATTTACACAACTGAGCGCAGTCGCATGACCGCGTGGGTCTTCGCCCTCGAAAGCCATTTGTCTTCATGCACCGTTGACTTCAGGAGACAAAAAAGCAGGTGCCATATCGTTACGCTCGCTGTCACGCTGCGCTGAAGTAGCAACTAGCTATTGCAGGCGTCTTTGTGCTGTAGTCCCTTATATTAAACTCACTTATCACTCTAAATCTTAGCTGCTATATTTTCCCGTTCCCTTTTTCTGCTTGTGTTCACGTTGTGTTGGTTTCATAAATACACAATTCACTACAAGTTTCTTGTCTGGCAGCGAGATCTGAACATTGGTCTTAAGGGGCCAGTGTACACAAAGGGCCTTGTCGGTGTGACTACCTGAAACTCTCACTCAATAGCTGGAGACATAAAACCTACATTTGGGAGACTGTCAAGGGGGAGTCAGCTTGGAGTTGGAGGGGGATGAGTTTGCAACAACCACCAAAGCTGAGACCGCTGTCAGTCATAAGATATCTAGAACGTCGCACAGGCACCATTTAAAAGAGAATACACTGAAGCTTTATCCTCGTAATATTTAGTTTCACGTTCCCAGTAACTCAAATGGTTTTATGGCGGCCATACTTAGAATTCTGTTCCATTGGTTATTTGTGTTATCCAGTCCACCGTGTAGCCAACACAAAATAACCCCCAATTTGTTTGTACAGTACATATTACATTACATACTATTCCGTTTTCACCATTATGTCATTATGTAAGCGGCAACGCTCTTTAATTTGCTCAATGGGGCAAACCGGCTTTCCGGTTTCGGGAACCGTTGTTTATTTTAATAGAAGAACTGGGAGACTATTCTTTGGTCAATCTTATCTCAAGCTAAACCGGAACCAAAACAGTTAATAATTCACGACCCTCGGTCAAACCGCATAGACACCACCGCATACGGGACAAAGATACAGGCCTCCGAGTGTCGATGTGGACGATTAGCAGGGAGGCTCAGCGAGCCCTACGGGGCTGAGTAGGCCTCATCCTCATTCTGTAAGCATTTACACTCCTAGCATAGAAAGACACTCGTCAATGCAGTAGCCCACACTCACACACGAGTTGCCTACCAAAATGTCTCTGCGCAGGTCTCGCTGGGCCTGTTGCTGCCCCTGTGGACGTCGCTCTGCTGTTTGTTTAGGAGGCGGAAAGGACAGTGACTACTCGGCTCCCGCTCGCTCTCTTTGGCCTAGATCAAGCCTCCACCATCTTCCCTCCTCGGTCTGGAAGTGGCCTGTGGGCCACGGGTCTGGCAGAGATTCCCCGGTCCTGTTCTTTATGGTTGCCTTTTAGACTGGAGGCTGCCGCCGTTGCTGCGTCACTCCCGCTGCATCACTGACCCACAAAGAGGAGCTGTGAAGGAGGGGTGGCCTGGTGTATGTAATGGATAAGCATGAAACAACCGGCTCAGCTGTACACCGCGCCAGCCGACGAATGGATGGGGCTTCCGCTCTGCCTCGGTATAGGGCCTAGCTTCGGCGCTGGTGTCCAGGAAGTGGGTTTGGGAAACGGATCCTGTATTGTTACGTAATGAATATTTGTCCTCCTAGACTAGACTCAGCTGAGAAGGCGGTCTCCAGTGTTCAGGGGCTAATAATAGGCCATAGAAGTTACCAGCCAAGGCTGTACGTGGTTATGTCAGATCATTCCCACACACGGCTACCAATTGAATGCAAGAATTTCCGATACAGAGTTTAAACATAAAAGTAAAAATGCATGCTCGGAAACGATTCATTGTTCTCGTCCCTTCCGACGGCACAAAGGATTCAACCTCTTACGTTTGGGTTTCTTTCACGATAACAAACAATGACAGTATTTTAGACTATAGCTAGCTATTATTATCCCATATGTATCTGATCCTGTACTATCGCTGTTTAAAAACACAAGTAAAACAGTGCATACCTTTGTCTTAATTTACTGTAGCTTGCTTGTATGGGTGAGGCAGGGTGCAGATGCACGCACGGAAGTATTAGTTCACGGTTTCAATCCAGAAAAGGTGTGTTGTGTTCTTTAGGCCTGGATATGTTTACCAGAATTACAGCACTTGTTTTGCACACGCTACCCAAGGGTTTATTTGCTTGATCCTCCTCCTCCTTCTATCGTCTGACACTAGTTTTCATTGCCGTGTTGCTCCCTCTGCTGGCTGCAACAGCGAACACGGCACAGAGACAATATGCAAACCCCGGTTGGCTGGAGGAAGAGAGACGGCATCGAGTGCTGAGGGACATCAGCAGAGGGCGCGGGGGGCAGTTCTTTGGTGAATTTAAACAGGAAGTATACGTTAAAATTGACCATTGATCTCGATATGATTTCTGCAGGGCTCTGGTTTCTTAAGAATTCTATGCTTTTTGCCTTTCAAGATTCCGTTTTATCATTCAAGAACCATGATGGTGCAGTGCTGGATTGTATAGCATGCTACTTAATTTACCAGTAATATTACTGTGCAACGTACATAACTTACAAATAATGGCATCTAACCGTCAATTCAATACTAGTGGTAAGAACAATGATATACACATGTCTACATTACCAATAACAAAACCAGGTGTGATAAACCCAGATAATAAATTATGAAGTCCCAAATACAATACAATAATTTATTACTTGTTGCTTGGAGATAACACAACATAATGTTAAACTTAAGAACATGAAACCTCATGCATTGGATCTTTTTTCAGTAGTACAAGTACAATCTTAATGCTGACTATCCAACTCTCCAATTGCTTCATGGTTCTCTTCATGAACACTGGTGTGAAAAAAGGTAAAAAATATCTTCCTCCAGCCCATAACATTTGCAATGCCCTCCATGTCGCTGGTAAAGTCGTCACAACGATTCCTCACAGTTTGCTCCCAAAACTTCTCAGAGTCGCAGATCTGTTGTAGTACAATCAGAGCAAAATACAAGGGATATTTACAGGTGTTATCACTGTAGAAATTAACGAGCAAAAAGGTACATGGTGGTAAGACATCAAAATAGAAAATTACACAACATTTAATCCAAACCGTTTCCTGTTGTAAACCTATAAAACATTTTAAGAGGCTCTCACCTGTCTGAATCTATGCGAAACCTGTGCCAGCCGTGTCACGTCTGTCAGCTGTAGGAAGGACAGGATTTTGAGCACCATGCCATTCGGTAAGCGCTCCAGGTAATCAAACTGTCCTTGACAAAGCGATCTTGTGTATTCTAGGATCCTCTGCCCGAAAACTGCCTCAACGTTTTCTAAATATTAGGAGTGGAAAGCACAGTCTGAACATGAAATTAATAAAAAAGTACAGTAACACTGCCAGACAAAAGTATAAAAAGGATTCCCACAATCACAGAGATAATGCAAGGTCTTGGCATGAAAAAAGTTGCTGTTCTGATGAAAAACCCACGCTGTAGCATTTTCTGAAGCAGGAAATTGTCGTGGGAAACCTTCAGCTCGGTGGGAGTAGCTCCCTGGCACTCAAGTCTTATAGAAATTGTCCATGTTCTCCATATTACCTAAAGTTAAAAAGAAATAAACACTGAGAGCACAGTGAAAATAATGACTTGATTTACGCAAGGAGAACCTTACGTTGGACATCCAAAATACAATTATGTAACATAATAACATATTTAGTTAATAACGAATCACCTGTGGCATGGTGGACTTTAACCTGCTCTTTGTGTCTCTGCTATTTGTTTCATATAGATTCATTTCACAATTGGTAACAATCATTTTTACAATATCAATGGTTTACCTTAACAGTCATTTCAACTTGAAATGTAAAATATTTCTGGATGTATAGAAGTTGTTTCTCATCTTACCAGAAAGTAACTAATGCTTGTCTACAACGTAAAAATATGAAGGCCATCAAGGCATTATTTAAAAGCTAGCATTAAGTTAGCTAATTAGTTAACGTTAGCTGTTAACTGAAGGCGAAAACTAAGTTAGCCACAGATATTCTTCTAGACTGTCATTAGTAAATAGGAACAAATACTCAACCTCAATATTGGTAATTAGAAGTTGGAAAAAATCTTTTTGAGGAGGGGGACCCTGTCCACTAATTTGAAATAGGTGCTCCCCAAGTAAGGATGCCATTTTGGACGCAGCACTGTTACCATGACTACTCATAAGCAACTGATATAACATTATTGATTCAACTGTGGTGGAATCACTTTGCAGTGTTTTATTGTTGTATGAGTTGATGACAATGAATAATGTTGGAAATGTTTTATTTTTAATATTTTATTGTTGGATGTTTCTATTTTGTTTTTGTGTGTTTTGAGAGGGGGCGGGGGGTCACGACCCAGCGGATTGATACTCGGTAATGTCACCGATGTCGTTGGTGTCTCAGTCGTTATACTTGAATACTAAAAAACAAAGCGCATTTCTTTCTCACGTTTTTTGCTGCTATATTTAAAGCGCAAAGCACCGTGCACGTAGCGGCATTGTTGTCTAAAAACAAGTAGATGCTGAAAGCAAAAACCAGCAGTAGACTTAACTAGTCCCTCAGCGGATGAATCACGCGGATGTATATTGCAGTTGCAGGCCCCTCAGCTGATGTGAAACTAGCAGGGGTAGAGAGAGAAAAGAGGAGCTGGTGCACTGTCTGTTACAACTACAACACTGGAACAAATAGGTAACAACATTATACAAAAGGTAGAATTTTTCAGTGACATCTCGGCCAACAGTCACTTGGACCTTCGAGATTATTCAATATCGAAATACATCGGAGGAATTATGTATCAATGTTGCGAAAATATCTCGAATCCCGGTCCTGCTTTCCTGTTTTTTTGTGTCTAAAAGGTATCAGAGGCCATTTCTTTTTTGCTAGCTAGCGTTAACGTGCTAGCTGCTAGCTAGACAAATTGTTAATTTATTATCAAAATGTGATCAAATTGTTCCCAAACTGCTGAATTCGTGTGTTGTAACGAGGCTGTTGTTGGTCAAAGGAATCCCAGTATCATTCTGTCGAGCTGGCAAAGCGTTAGCTAGCGACAACAAGGCTTGCTAATATGAATTAGCCTGCATGCCAAGGTTAGCTGGTGATAGCAGTAACGCTCTTGTTTGATTTGACAACGCTAAACGTCATCTACGTAACTGCCCTGCAGTCGCTAATTCGGTTTTGCTAAGGTCAGTATTTTTTCATTCAGCAGGACAACTGTCCACACTAATTCCAACCAGTAACAGTAGCTGTACAGTCAAGTGTTTATATTTGCTATCCTACTGTTTGCGAGTGAACGATCATTGACTAACCATTCGCTATCTTATTTGGCTAAGCTAGCATTAGCTTGCTAATAGTTAGCATTGGTACTTGTTATTCATGCAAAGATCGGTTACGTAGCTAAATTAAACGCCTGGCGTTAATCTGTCTCTTTTACTTGGATATGACGTATATACTGTGTTGACACGTTGATCGTTAATCCTAAAGTTGTTTCTGTCTGGCTAACATTAGCTAAAACGTTAGCTAGCGCTGTAGGGAGAATCAGGCAGTGGCCTTAAATCAGCTTAGAAAACATAAGTGATCCCCATAGCTAGCTAACATTAGTTAGCTATATTTGTGTACTGACAGTTTATAGAAGAGTGATACTTGGATGTGGCCGGTTACTTTACGACTTGACAGTTGTGTATTATTGACTTTATCGTCTCTTTGAACCGTATGGAAGGTGAGCTCACTTGCGTGTGAGACATGTACGTTTTTTTTCTTTAAACTTGATGGACAGCCAAACACAGACTAGTGTGTCATGGCAGTCAGAATACCAACTTAGCTTACGCTGGTAGCCTGCTAGCTATATTACATTAACGTTAAACCGCTTGCGAAAGACGGACGCAGCGATCTTGCCATTTTCGATGTTTAGATTAACTTGGCTAACAATCTTGGGTGAATGTAACTCGTCTTAGCCGTTTAGTAAAAAGAATACCCGTTTTAAACCACAACAAACTTTTAGTTTTTCGAATTGTGCAATACGTTTATTTAAGGGGCTAAAGAGGTCGACAGACCGGTAACGTTACGCCGACTACGCATTTCCATGTAACCACTGCTACGTTAGCCAACGTAAGTTTACCTTACGAGTCTCTGGTACGTGCTTACCAGGCCTTTTACCATTTTCTTGTCGTAAAATTCAAGAGTCAGCGGGACAATATTCGCTTTTGGGATTTAACACGTATGCGGCTAAGCCACTGTCAAAATATACGGGGCTTGCTAGGACATGAGTGGCTAAACATGCTAACGTAAGTCGGCGGTGATAGAGAACTACGTCAGAAATAAAGGCCTCCGTAAATCATGGGTATAAATTTGGACACCGACTGGCGTCTTTAATAATGTAGCATAGGAAACTTCCGAGTGTTTAGAAGCAGCCGACGATCTGATGTGCTGAACTAATCACGTACGCGAGTGAGGTGCACCAGTTGTCAGAATGGAGGAATAAACAAAGACGAGGATGCACTGTCAGTGCAGGCCTAAAATGGCCTGGTGAGCTTGCCAAGTGTGGCGTATGTTATGATCAATGATATGAAGATTTCAACCATAACAAAATGCGTTAATCGGTAATATCTATTTTTCAGGATGAGAGATAAGTATTTAGGTTGCATTAGTCATTGTCTGTCAATTGATTGAATTATCCTGCTCTGTGTGTGTATGTGTTACAAATCTTATCAATCACTGCTGTTACCATTACCCTCATGTTATTGACTGATAGGATTTGCATATAAATTATTCTTATAAATATGTATGAGACATTTTGTTTTACCCCCAGACTAAAGTGATTGCTACAATTTACCTGACCCACAGAGGGTTGGGGTATCTAAATGTAGGCCATTTAAAGAATATCAGTTTATTGTCTTTAGATTATTTTGATGGTTGATTTATCTTTTAATGTGGTTTGTTTGGTTTATCAGTTTGTCCAATGGTGCTCTCTCATTACTTAAACAAACTTTTCCTTATGGTTGTTGGATTAAAAATATAAAGGGATATTAATGTCTGGTTATCCTGTGAGTGAATGCCAGTTGACCCCCTTTTCAGTGGGCTAAATGTACACCTTTTTCTGCAGACGATAAAGATTTTTTTGTTTAAGAAAACATAACATCATTAAATATGTTTTGCTCAAATCAACTGCATATATAGTTTCTTCAAACTCTTACAATTTGTAATCGTATCAACTGAGTAGTCTGGTTCCTTGCTCTTGCTGGCAGCAGATAAGTGTCATTAAAAGGATTTATCACTTGTTTTCTGGTTGGGGTTTGTATCCTGGGGTGTACAATCTCAGGAAAATTGATGAGACAGTTGTCTCCCTGATCATGTCAAATGGGCCAGAGAGGTGAGCTTGAGCGTTTGTACCATTAATCGGCCGTCATCCACAGCACAGCAACTCTGCTCAAGTCACAGACGTCTCCGTGGTCGTTAGAGTAGATCAAAGGCATTTCATTTTCTCAGTATTCTTATCTCCTTCCTCTCATTTGTTACAGTGAATGGTAGTGTCTAGAAAGGGTATGTCCCTTCAGGAGAGAGGTGCCAATGTCCAACCGGCCTAATTCCAATCCAGGGGGGTCACTGCGCCGTTCACAGAGGAACACTGCTGCGGCCCAGCCACAAGACCACACAGTCACAGGAAGGTGAGTCTTTAGTTTACATCTCAATTCAAGTAACGTTTTTTGTTGTTGTTGTTGTTTGGAACCTTGGTTATGTAGGAATGCGGTGTGCTTTGGTAGAGGTATATCAGTGCTTAGGTTCAGGTTTAATAAAATGCAAAATGTTTGTATTAGCCTATTTTATCAGATTGGTTGATCAGAAGTTTCTTGTGTTCCTTTAGCATAGTAAATGTTTGTCTTGTTACTCCAGATTTGCTAATGTAAGAGGCTGTGCACTCAGTAAGCCCACATTTTGTTTAGCCACTGTACGAAGCCTCTTGTCATTATTTTTAATATATGGCTTAGTTACAGATACCGACACTATCATTTGCTCTTTGATTTCCAAACTTACAGGTTGCAGTCAGAGCAAGTAAAAAATAAAGTGAATTCTCCACCTGAAAGTAAAAGACCTAATTCTAAGGCTTCCAAAGCCACAGCCAGCTCCACCGCTGGCCAGTCCAGAGGCCACAGCTCAAGAAGGTATGCATGTTGGGTCTGTACATAATCAAATAGTGTGACACAAAGTCAAATTCACATTGAAGACAAACAAATTATTGTACAAATATTGTTTTTGTTCCAACTCTGAATGTGTGCAATGTGGTGTGTAATTAATTACTTTTCACAGTTTGAGGAGTTTTTTTTAAAGATGGTGATTTGTTGTCTCTCTTGCTCCTTGGCAGAAGCGGTCTTACTCTTTCCGTGGCTTCATTTGTGTTGCAAGACGAGCCAGAGGCCGCGGGGACATCTGAGCAAGAACGACCAGGCCACCAGTCAAAGAGCGAGGGCACTCGCGGGCTGAAGCGGAGCGACGCTCCTGATCTAATTAGTACCTTCGGACCAACCCCTGCCAAGAAGTCCAAATCGGTCCCACCACCCAAAGACAATACCTCAGAGACCAAGAAAGTTCCAGCGAAGTCCAAGAAGAGACCACTTGCTCCAGAAGCACCTGCATTGTCAGGTCGCGGCCAGAGCAAGAAGAGCGGGGCCGCTGGGGCCTCACCGATCCAGAAACGGAAGAAAGCGGACTCCCTCCCCGGTCTAAGTAGCACCGCTGGGTCCCTCCCCAATCGTACCGAGGGCAGAACTGCAAAACCCACCAAGCTGGCGTCTAAATCGGCCGCCTCAGCCAAAGCTGGGTGTAGCAACGTGACGGACTCCTCCTCTTCTGCCTCCACCTCTTCCTCTTCCTCAACCACAGGGCCCAGCAGCGCCACCACGCAGGGCGCCCGAGTCAAACAGGGAAAAGATCAGACCAAGGCACGGCGCTCTCGCTCAGCCTCAAGCCCCTCCCCCCGCCGCAGCACCCGAGACAAGGAGCAGGCCAAAACCGCCAGCTCCTCAAAGTTCGAGTGGGCAGCGCGGTTCAACCCCAAAGTCAACCTGCCAAAACCCAAACTGTCCTTGCCCGGATCCTCCAAAACTGAGACCTCCAAACCTGGGCCTTCGGGATTACAAGCTAAACTAGCAAGTGAGTCACATTACCTGAGTGTGGAGTCCCTCCTGTGGGAGATCCCAAGTACTCATTTTCCTTCCGGTCTCAGTTGGTCTCTCCTTTCCAGCATGCTGCGAGCAAAGTTATCTGCAAGGTTTTGTTTTAATGGGTTTCTAATTGTTTGAAAGGATTGAGGGGTCAACCCCTTTTTTGT